TTGGCCACATGCGTACGTAACTGTTGAGCTGTATGTGCGTTCAAGAAGATGGCCGTGAGACCATACGCAAGAATAGACTGTACGCAGGCCGACCAAAGTCGGAGTCGAGTCTGCAGAGGAAGGGCTTGACAGATTAGAGTTCTGTGCAATCTGTTGAAGGCTTGCCAGGACTGCTGAATCCTATAGGCAACCGTTGCTTTCTCAAAGGAGTGATAGCCTATTTTGGTGCCTAGATACACGTGCTCTCGGCGGATAGGCAATAGGACAGGGCCCTGTTCCGTAGAGATAGTGAGATGCCTACCAGCCTTGCCTCTGCTGATACGGCCCTTTGTGACCGTTGCATGGGAGGAGCCCCCAAGGAGAAGCAGCACCACTGTCTTGTCGAAGGCTACCGACATACCAAAGCTTCGCAAATCATCAAGAAGTTTGCCTATATGGATACACGCCTGACGAAACTGCATCGGGGTGTGAATGATCCAGCTGAGGTGCAAGTCATCAGCGAATGCTGTAATCTGGTTCTTGGGAATGTATGTAGCAAACTGTTCTAGGATGAGCAGCGAATATGCACACCATATGAGTGGCGCTAGGCCACAACCCTGGCGTATGCCGGTGCCTGTTAAGATTTCAACAGAGAGATCCCCCCTTTTGAATACAAGTATCATCTCTTGATGTAGGTAGAGAATCAGCTGTATAAGGTCTGGCGGGGCTGCGATACGCTCTAAGGCTTGCCGAAGCTTCGTGCGGGGTAATCTGTCGAAAGCTTTAGACAAGTCTAAAGAGACCTGCAAACCGCCCTTGAGGGGGGCACTCTGTCGTTTGGCATGCGCAAATGGGTCTGGCCGCACTGAGGCTACCTGTCGCCGAACCGTTTCACAGTGGGCGTATACTCGATCCAATGCATCGGTGGTGCGACGCGCAAGTAGATAGGCGTACTGAGGCTGGGAAGCCAAAGCGGTTTCAAGTAGTGGTCGGATGCGCTGTGCTGCGATCCTAACCAAAATCTTAGAAACTGCTGGGAGAATGCTTATGGGCCTAAGGTTACCTGGGCTGGTTGGTGCCTTGCGAGGCTTGGGCAATAAAGCTACAAAGGCTTCGTGCCATGATTTGGGCATGTGCAGTGGACCAGGCACAAAGCGCCGCGCAAAGTCGGCATGCAGAGCGCTGACGATTGGCTCTGTGTGAGCCTTCCATAACACCGCAGGTGCTTGATGCTGGGGCAGGGCCTTCTTGGATGGCATACAGTCGAGGGCTTCCTGTATCTCCTGCTTGGTGATAAGGAGTGGCGCACAAAGCCAGAAGGTGTGCTCCGGCTTGGTGGCCGGGGTCTGAAAAACTCCGCTGAAATATTTGCGAATTTCCTCAATCGACTGCTCTGCCGTGAGCAATCCTTTGTCGGTGGTCTTAAAGTGTATGCTGCGTTTTGGCTGTTTGGGGTGTAGCCTGTTCATTGCTTTGTACACGTGGGAGAGACCCTTAGCGTCTGCTTGAAGGGCTGCCGTGATGGTGGCTTCTGCTTGTTGCTTCTTGTTGTGGCGCATCAGTCGGTTGAGGTTACGGGTGATTTTCTGGAGTCGTGCTGCTGCCAACCACGCGCCGAGCATGCTATGAACGTTGCAGCATGTAGAGCGCATGGCCTGTGCCGTGACTAGGTGTCGAGTCCAACTGCTGACCTGAAGGCGCTGGTGTAACTGCTCAGATGCTGCTCGTAGCTGGGCTTTGCTCTGCCAGTATAATTCAAGGTTAGGGCGTTCAGTGGTGGGCTGAGAGCGGGACGGACCTAGCAGGAGCTGCTGACCTATGTTGCTGAGGTGGTGATCAATGTCCTCTGCAGGTACAGCAGGGGTGATGCAAAGCTCAACTTGCTTCTTGAAAGCACAGGCTGTGGGCTCATGCAATAGCGCGGTTCGGGCTTGGTGCATTGTGAGAGCCGGCCGGTGGGCTGTCTTTGGGATGTGGGGCATAGGAATGGTGAGTGCAATGGGGAAGTGCCTAAACCCACTAAGTGGAATGACCGGGGCATTGTGAAGGACTTGGGTGTGGAGGTCAGGGATGTTGCAGGGAATGCGGAGGAAAACGTAGTCAATTTGAACATGCTGTCCTAGATGATTCTGAAAGGTAGCCGATGGCTTGCCGGCTCTCTTCCACGTATTGACTGCAACCAATCCTAGCCGCTGCACTAAGTCCTGAAAGCTTTTCCGGTCTCGGTGCACTTGGGTACGATGAGGAGCTAAACCCGAACCTACGTGGGGGTGACAGGCATCTAAGGAACAGTTAAAGTCTCCGGCTATGACTAGTCGGTTTCTTTGTGGCACCGAGGCGGCCCAGCTGCAGACACTTTGCAGTACGTTTGCACGATCCTGCAGGAGTAGGGTTACCGGGTCATGGTCCTGTAGGGCATAGCAACTCTTACGTGGGTTCCAGGCGTGTTGGTAGACATTCAGTACATCTACTGGGGGGTTGCTGGCTAGTCTCGTATGAAGAATGCGCCCAGGGAGTATCTCTAGGTACTGAACGTCAGCCTCATAGCCCTTGGCAAACCGTATCAGGGTAAGGACTCCCGCAGATCGGCCGGGATCGCCACTCGAGATACACTTCCAGCCCTGCTTGGTGAACTCGCTGGAAGACTGCCAGTGCGTTTCTTGAAGGCAGACTACTAGGACTTCCTCTGTTCGGGTTTCTTGCCACTGCAAGAGCGCTTCCAGGCCTAGGGCCGTGAGGCCTCCGCAATTCCAGGTTATAAAGCCTATGCGCGCGGGTTGCCTACGTCTTGGGGGCAGCTGAGTACGTTGGGATTTGGCAGTGTTGAGGGCTGTTACAGACTTTGTGGGGTTCATGGATGCAATGTCGCGTTTGTGGGCTTGGGGATCCAGTCTTCGACCCCTGTACCATGCAGTGCCGTGCATCTGAAGGCGTCGGAGCGCACGCTGGTAGGAGCGTTTAGCTATTCGGCCTGGTCTGACAGTGCCCGGCAAGGCTTCGGGATTGGAAAGTTGATGGCTTACCGGGGCTGCAGCTACAGCAGGTTGAAGGCAAATGTGCAGGACTAGCGCTGGGAGGAGCGTCGTTCGGGGCAAACGAACTAATGCAACTGAGGGTCGGGTGAGGTAGGGATTCTTACTCCGAGAGTGCCAACACACGCATTCAGGGGTCATTCCTTGGGACTTGACCTGTATAGGAAAATGGTCATTATGGTTTGCCTTGAGAGTATTAATCTGGGCAAATTGTGAGGCTTCAGGGATCCTATGACCGATGCAGATCCCAACCCTCGCGTCTCCAGTGAAGTTGGTGGTAGGGCTTCGGGTAGGTTTCTCATCACTGGTCCCGGACTTGGGACCGGGACGGCCCGTTGCATAATCTGGTTGTGCCACTCCGAGCCAGGCCTGCAGCCTACAAACTAAGGCCTGTACAGTTGCCACACTCAGAGCCTTGGAAGGCAATTGCCTTCTCAGACCTCGAAGAAGGCGGTTGTAGCCTGGGCAGTGTAGATGTCGGCGAGCGCAGCGAAGTCGGCGAGGGCGCTTGGTGATGGCGCCGGGATATCGAAAGCGCCACCAACGCCAGTGCAGGCGCTGCTTGTCCATACAGAAAGAAGACTGCCAGGACGAGTCATGGCCTTCGAATGCCAGAGGAACTGGAGGGCTCCTGCCGAGGCTCACTTCCATCCCCATTGCCGGGAGCTGGTCCAGGACCAGCAGGGTCAGAGGAGCCGGACGCCATTTGCGCATCAGGTTGCACTGAGTGGCTTGCTGCTGCAGAGTCTGCTCCCCGGACCTGTTGCAGAAAAAGATGGCGTGCGTACCATCGCTGCAGTTTGCCCTGTGAAGGCTTGGAGAGGAGCGGCCATAGCGCACACATGGTACCATAGTGCAAGAGCGGCAAAACCAGGTCGGTGGCCAGTCGGGCAAAGTGCTGGGCATGAGCTCTGTCGCTGTCCACAAAGTGGTCCTCAAATTCCTTGGCAAGGAGCAGGCAGAAGGCTTGCAGGAGTTGTCTCTTGGCTGGGCTCTCCGGTGCTCCACTGATCCAGGCAATATCATTCCTTGGAATGGGTCCTCGCAGCGCCGTCTCCAAATAAGCGTAGTTGTGACGTAGGGCATCTGCTTCACGAGGGGGTAGCTGTGCCACCGTGAGCTCGCGGACTCTGGAGGCATCCATATTGTGCTGCTGTCGCTTGGCCGCTGCAAGTCGGGCCGAGGAAGTCCGTCGGTCCGAAAAGATAAAGCAGAGATACGATGCCAGGGCGCTCCAGCACAGCTCCTGTAGCAGTATGTTCCTGAACTCCAAAACGGAAACACTGGGTTCATACGTGTAAGTTTCGGAGTCAATGCCACTGGTATTGGAGCCGGCAGCGCTTCCGGATTCACTGTCTGTAAGATCCGGCTCTTCGTCAGCACTGCTAGAAAGCATGTCCAGATCATCGTTGGCAGCAACAGAGCGAAGCATGGCATTCCGGGGAGTGGCAACTCGTTGTTTGATTTTCGGGCCGAGACGCTTGATGGTGATGGTGATGATGATGATGATGATGACATTGGATGCTGACGAGGAGTACGATGATGATGATGGTGGTGCGAATGACGATAGTCGGTGATTATGATTATGAGGATGATGGCGACGTTGATCACAGTGATGCTCAGTGTTGGTTATGCTTATCATCATCAAGAACATGACCATGCCAGACGAGGATGACCAGGATGAAGTCTGATGTGATGCTGCGTCTGATGGTGATGCTGGATGTTGTTGTCATCGAAACCGCCATTAGCGGCAGTGCCGCTTGTGGGGCTGCTAGTGCAATGAAGGTCGGATTGCTCTGAGCCTTCTGCAATGTCCATTATAATTCCTTTCTCGCCTCTGCCATCACTCCTACCTGCAATAAGCGGTTGGTTTTGCCAGTACCTCTGCTGTTGTGCCCAAGCCCTCTAAGATCTGTTTTGGTGTTGACGGCGTTTACTGAAGGTTTTAAGTGGATACTTGATCCCCAGAAAGCCCTACGGCGTCGGCGCCTTGACAGCTGGCGATCCAAATTCAGCACCAGGGCCTCCAAATCCTCCCGTGCTTTGGAGCGTGAGACTGGGATGAGGCTTTCGTTTTGGGCTTCAGGCTTCATGTCTAGTATTCTTCGCTAGGCTGGTTCAGTGTTGTAGCTGGGCAATGCACGATTACAGCAGCAAGACACTCGCTCCCATCTGCCTGCCAGGGACACCTCCAAACGACTGAATACACCCCTCATTTCGATGAAGCGCCTTCAATTCGCGGGCCGCACGCCTCTCTACGAGGGCCTGACAAAGCTTTCTTCTGGTTGACACAATACAATCTAGCAATACCTAGCATTCAGAGAACGTGCAGGGATCGGAGGGAGACTGATATACTGGGTCAGGCGTTCATAAGGAAACCTGCTTGTTGGGAGCCGCAGGGTGCCAAAACGGCCCCTCGACTCCCAACATCCCAGGCTGTCGGTATGACTACGAACTAGTCCCGAGACACTTGTGTGTGTTGAAGGTTGCGGACCTTCTCGATGCGAATATCGTCAATCTCCTGCATCAGCGCCCTTAGCAGCTCTACGACATGTAAGATCCAAGCACCAACAACAGGCAGGATGCCAAATGATACGATTCTCGAGGGTCCTGTCTGAAAAACACTCCACATCAACTATGCGATGCATGCTGCATGGTTGATGACCTTACTCATGCTCGTCGAATAGTCGAGCAAACGGCAACGGGGACGGAGAATGACGAGTGGACTAAAGCATCTGCTTAATCGACTGAACCGCGAAAGCATATCCCCTTGGCTAGGAGGCCGGCCGCCGCCGAAGGGCCTGCAAAGAGTCAGAAAGCTCAAGCTCCGCTTGGACCTGGCGACGGCTCGGATTGGGCTCTTCTGCTCTTCTGCGCAAGCGCACGATACTAAGGCGAGGAAGTCGCCCGGCGGCTTCATGCTTGCATGGCCAGCATCTACTTCTGCTTCGCAAAATCGCTTTGATTTCTTGCGTGCTTTCCCCCTTGTCCTTGGTGGGTGCAAAGCATGAAACACTGAAGGAATTGCGTGCATCACATGAGTGGGAGCTGCTCTTAAACTGGAGAACTCTATGTCTAGATTCTGTGGAAAAACTTCTCTCTGCTATGGGCTTGATTGGTTTGCAACCGTGTTACAATGATCTCGTTACTGCGTGACCTGATGGGCAGCTGATTTCATGACGCCTCGCATGCAGCTAGTTATGTTCTAACTAACGTGGCTCCAGCAGACAGCTGACTCGCGCCATGGTGAACCACGTATGTTACGAAGGCTCATTTCCTGAAAGGGTGACCATCGGCAGAGCTAGGCGATATCAAACCCATTCCCCCAAAGCAACCCCTGAAGAATCGTCTATCTCTCTCCACTCGATCTGAAGCAAGCCTCCACTTCAGCAGTGCATGGAGCAAAGGCGGGACCTCTAGCGATAGCATGAAGTGGGCCACTGTATCGGCGATGGGAAAACAATTCAAGTTCAAGACCTGCTGCTGCGTTGAAGCACTTCGATGACGAACTGACTAACTGCCAAACCGCACAAGAAAATGTCGGAGGACTTGAATTCGGTTCTCCAGGGGGCAGGTTCATACGGATATGTTGCGCCGTAAGCAATGAAAGGCACGGGCCGTCGTGGCGGCTGCTGTACCGGCAGGAACTTGCCATTATGGACGTATAGCTGGTGATGGATCAGAGTGTGGACCACCATAACCGAAGCATCAAGTTTCATAAGCATGAGCCCAGCCCAGAGTCTGCAAAGGACCTTCAGTTTCCCTGGCTTCCCGGCTTGCAGTGTCGGAAGCAGAGGCGATTTCGTGATCCTGCCAGCTGGGGCGAGCTGGTGGGGCCTGAGCCTGTTGTTGACGCGGCTTGAATCAAACCAAGTTTGCTTTGTCTTCAGGAAGCTTCCACCTCCAGTCCCAGACTCGCACAAAGAAGAGACATCCTAGTCCTAGTCCCACAATCTGGCCCCCCTCGCATGCGAGATCCTTCTTTAGCATGGCTCACCCGCTGAACTTTGCTGCGCAGCCTCTGTCGTGCTCCAAATTCTGAAATCCAAAACTTCGATTGCCACACCACGGTGCCCTGTCGAGCAAGACATGCTAGGCCCTGCTGGGCCTTGTCGGAGTCGTCGACGCACTGGGTGCCTGGCACAAGTACTGGGATTCATCGAAGCACGTCATCGAACCAGATGCGGAGTCCCTCAAGTACTCAGTATTGGTTTCTTCGCAGAAACAACAGCGACGATTCGTAATAGAAATGCTTCTAGTGCTCACAGCAATACTCATAGTATTGGCTACAGTATATCGTCCTGGAAAAACAACACATATCGAAAAGGTAAGAGCAATAATGGTAGCAATAGTACTCGCAATCGAAACTGTGACAGTAACAGTGACAGTTAAAGCAGTGATTATCGCCATAGAGTTAATCACTGTGATAGTGATAGTGACGGTGAGAATGGAAAGTCATGGCCTAGTGATCGTGACAGCAATAGTACACCCACTGAAACTAGAACTAGTCATACTGATGGTCATGGCGCTAGTAGCAGCCATGGTATCAGTATTAATAGTAGGTGGTAATCCTAACGACAATAGTAATCATAACACAGATAACGGTAGTACTGCTAGCACCTGTATTAATGGACGAATACCAACAGTCTGGAGACAACACACGTTCTAGCACAAGAACTAGTACTGGCAACACTAGAATTACACATGGCAACTTTCGTACTGATACTAGTACTGATACTGATAGTAGCACTGATACAAAATACCTGCACTGCTTGACCAAGGAGTGATGAAAAGCATATTGATATCAGTGTTAATGCCCGGTGATGGTATTGGCAGAAACCTTAATTTGAACAGCAACGTTATCACCAACACTAAAACTAATGCTAATGCGACTTCGAAAGCTGATACCAATACAAATACTCATACTCATACTTGTGTTTTGTTGACCTACCGCTGAACATGGAGTCTCGGTTCTGCGCAGGCCAATTGTGTCAGGCACTGTTGTCTTCCGAAGATTGCTGCTGTGCCCTCACGAAGCGTCAATCAAAGGGCTTGTTGAGAAGTGCAGCTCAGTACCAAGTCGTGCTGCACGCTGAGGTGGAGGGAACCCCCCAATATTGCCCTGAGCGAACACAAGCTGTGCAGATCCACTCGCTCACCGAAGCATGCGTCGGCTTCGCAAAAAAAGCGCCCGAAAACCCGGCAGAAGATGAAGCCTGGGACTTCGGCGATCGACGCCGAGAGATGCTCTGCCTCAGCTGAAGATCGGATGTCGGCTCGAAGCTTTGTCGCTGTCAGGGGGGCCAGGCCCACTTCGGATTCAGTCTAGAAAATACTGAGCGAGTCTAAGGATCTAGGCCGGAATCAGAGTGACTGGAATGGAAAATGTTCGGGCGGCCCTGATTGCTTTGGCACGAGCTGAAAATCGCCACAGTGGGACAGGTTCCGAGCCACATAGACAGATTGTCACAGAGAGACGACGAGAAAGAGGGAGGGAGAGAGACAGAGAAAGAGAGAGAGAGAGAGAGACAAGGTGGGTGGGTGTGGGTGCTGATACATGCATGCATCCGCCTGCCTGAATGCGTAAATGAACTTGACTTGGAAGTACACTACATTACATTGCATTAAACTCGCTACAGTGCAAGTTACAGTACATGCGATTATGAAGCATTCATTTCATGACATTCAACCACATTCCACGGCCTACTTGCATCATGGGTGGCTCAACCTTGGCGCTTTTGTGCTTGCTCATCAAGCTATACTGGTTTCGCACATCTGAACATACATACGTTGAGTCGAAGGATTGGATACATCATTCCCCAAAATTCGCTTGTTCACCGACCAATGCTGTCTCGGTGCTCCGACCCTCTGAATCACATTACATTACATCACATGACATCACATTACAATGCACTACATTACACTACACTACACTACACTGCGATCCATTACATAACGCCACACTACGCGACGTTACACAACATTGGGCCCAGGCGGTTGAACCTTCAGCAAACCCTCGAAGAGTGCAGCCTTCCCCACTCCCATTGCAACCGAGCCTCCGGGAAGGCTTTCTGTCTTCTCCGGTTCCATGCAAAGCTCTGCAGTTCTTCCAAGATCATGTGCAACCTGACATGGTGAGTCAAAGAACTGTGGTGGCTGAAGAGGAGCATAGCCTTTGGTACTGTAGCTCTTTAGCCGATGGCCGAAAGGTTCTGCAATGTTCTCGAATTTGCAGTTTAGCATTGGCTGCAGTGGGGTTGGGCACCTCCGACCCCCCTGCGATGAGCAAACGGAAACCCAACGACAGTGTAATCCCATGAATCTTGCTCTGAACCTACACTTGCAAGGCCTCAAACCCATAACTCCACCTATGCATTGATGGGACAGACCACAGGTGCAAGAGGCAGGAAATCAATTCACCAAGAGGAGGGGTGAGGCAATTGACTTCGAAGACAGCGCACTTGATGCTATGACCATGCTGCAGAAGCTCTGCTATCGTTCGGGGCATGCTGTAACAGTGGCACACCTTTGTCCCAAGTCTCACGGAGTGCTTCTGACTAGTCTCGCTCTCGCGCAGCAAGGCACAGAGCCTTCCGGTACTTACGACCGACATCAAGAAGTTGTAATATTTGCGAACGGCGCAGATCTCTCTGTCACAGGCGACAGAGTTGACAGACTGGTTCGATGTGGTGCGATCCTCGCTTTGCTGTTTTGAAGGGCGTGACAAGTGCATAACAACTACTGCAAGCTGGTCTCGCCTCAGGGCCACAAGTTTACGTTGAAAGGGCTCCAAAACTAAGAGGCAACGGTTCTCGTCGTCTTCGACAAGTGAAACGGACTGCTGTATTCCTGCCACTCAAAAGACATGAAAGGCTGTTCGCTCGAGGTCAATCGAAACGAGACCGCCGCGAGCTAAAGGAATAAAGGAGTTAGTCGCTTTAGGAGACTACATTTCAAACGCAGATCGCAGCAAACACGAGTGCAACACCACATCTTATGTGCAAGAATGTACAAGGACTGGTACTCTGCAATTCAGCTTTCTGAATGCAGACCCGTCCAACTTCGAGCACCTCAGCCTTGTGCACTGATGGGCAGTGCGAAGTGGCGGAGAGGATAAAGTATGGGAAAAGCAAGCGCAAGCAGTTACGCAAGCTTGCACTTGAAAGAGTGAATCGGCACCAACAAGAGCAGTGCACCACGCTGCCACGCTGTGGCGAGTATGACAGAAGACATGGAAAAGCAGATCATTGAGAATGGCTTCCCTTCTCAGTGCAAGCTTGCGCCCGATGGACAAGGCGTTAAAAAGTGTGCAGTTGCCCTGCACTGTTTGAAGCGAAATTTTTCTGAAATGACACTGAAATTGGGGGGGATATGCTCGCTCGAACGAAGCCCACAGCCTGGAAAGCTGCTCGGAGGACTCCGGTGTCTGCAAGACTTGATATCAGATGCAGCCCACCCACGGGCCATTCGCACACATTTTCAGATAATTACAGACTGAAAGATGAAATCAACCATGAAACAGATCCTGAACATCAAGCCCATACAGGTCTGCGGAGACTTGCTTACGAAAGGACCATTATTACCACCCCCACTACCCGCTACCCTTGCCCAGCAATTCTGTTGCTAGCAGGACAGGATGACAGCTACTGGCGCGACTGTCACTACAAGTACGACAGTTACGAAGAGCCCTGCCATTAATGCTGCTGTTGGGCTACAGGAAACTCTGATTGTCGCCCGGCGACGACGAGCTGCATCTCAGCACGTTTGCTGGCATCTGCAAAATCTGTCGAACGAAGGCATCTAGCTTCCCCCATCCGGGGAGTCACGGCTTTCAACCGCTCTCAGAGGCGTTCGACCTTTTTCTCTGAAGCGCTCCGGGCGTCTCTCAGGCGTGCCGCCTTGCTCGCGCCGCGGCCCTGGCTGCCCATTGTCGGCCGACCTCAAAGTCCAGCTCTCTCCTTGGCTCCCGAGAGCTCTTTTCGTGTACCGGCCACATGTTGTTGGGAAGCCACGAACAAACGAGGGCCGAAGTAAACTCGCAAATGATGAGGTGTCTGTTTTGCTGCGTTGGAACATGCCATTCATGCAGTATTGTGTTGCATTGATGATGATGATGATGATGATGATGATGATGATGATGATGATGATGATGATTGTGGTGATCATGGTCCCTGCAATGATTGTGATCATGGTGATGATGGCATTGATGGTTATGATGCTGATGATGATCATCATCATCACTATCATCAAGTGATGATGATGATGATGATGACGGTTGATCTTCTCATCCAAATGATGAAAACGGGGACGCTGATCGTCTAACGACACAGGATTACATCAGAAGCGCGGTTTGCCTGGAGGGCAATGCAACACCTGTGAAGGTTTTGGAGCGGCAGCTTGAGCAAGTTGAAAGCCAAAGCTCGCTTACGGCTATGCGTTGTGACGCAACCGCTTTCAAAACCGCACTGCCGCTGTGCTGAAAAGCAGTAGTGCCAGCATGCTCGGGCACCACCTTCAAGCCTAAGACAAGTCGCACATAACATCGTTGACTTTGCAGTTCCAGCTCATTCTCGTTCGTGGACGGCCGCAGCCGCATGCACTCTGCAGGGGCCGAAACTGATCGGTGAAAAAGCTGCGGCTCCTCGTCCTCCGACTTTCGGTCGCGGCTTAGGCTCTCAAGAGTGGGTTTGCCAAGGAAGTGGAACTCGAAGACAGGACCTTCAGACATCCCGCCTAAACCGAATACAGACACGGACGTCGAGCCTTGTCGAGGTTAGTCCCTCGGCACGATGCAACGCTCCGAAGAAATCCAAATCACAACTCATCCCTGCACCAACATCCCGCTACAGCTTGCCTTGCCTCTTGCCTCATGACTAAAGCTGCAGCAATGCATTAGCCGGACAGTCTCAAGTGCTTAAAGTCTGTTCTAAGTTCTAAGTGTGTGCGGCCATGCACCATGTTTTGTTCTATCAAAGATCTGCTGGTCAGCTGACCACAAATACTGGCAAAGATTCGCGATGGACAGAAGGACATTCACAGGCTCAATTGGCACGAGTAGTCCGGGCTTGCTCATGTGCGAAACCCCAAACCCGAAGCCCTAAACCCTGCTTTGGTGCCCTGAACGGAGTCTCAACCCGAAGCGAACGCCGAACGCAGGGGCTTTTGCATATCTGATGGAGTGAGGGGATGAGTGAGATCGGATGGATCTTCAGAGCTGCATTAGATGCAGGGCCACCAGACACGAGTGCAAAACCGAAGCTTTAGACTTTAGATGACAGGAAAGGCCAATTCGTAGGGGTCAAGCAGATCGCACTTGAGCTCTGTAACCTGGCGAACACAGAAAGATGAAAGCAGGGATTCCAACCCGTGCGAAAAGAGCAAAAGAAAGGCAGATCAAACACCTTCGGTCGGTCTGCGCATAAGACGTCAAGAAATCCAGGATTGAAAAACAGCGCAAAGCATTCAAAAGCAACAACAGCAAGACAGCTCCTGAGAAAGAGCCACAACAACTTCTGGAGCCACAGTAGTGTTTGAGTTTAGTCATCTTGCTACAGACGAGTGTTGGTCTGTCAACAACTCCCCCGGCGAGGCGACGTCCATCTTCGTAATGACTAATGACTTGCTTGCTCTCGGGGGCTAACGGGGGTATGCCTCAGTTGTAGCCTGTTCCACAAGTGGCACTGAACTGGGGTAGTGAACGTACGTACACACATCCTTTCGCAGCGCTTCAGAAGCCTCTTGTGAGTCATGCGTTGCTAGTAGTACCTATAACAATAACAACAACACAACACCGAGGACGACAACAACAACAACAGCAGCAACAGCAACAACAACGAGAACAAGAACAAGAACAGGAAGAAGAAGAAGAAGAACAGCAACAACAACAACAACAACAACAAGGTACAGACAAAAACTGCAGCCCCAAAGACCCAAATATTTGCCTTTGTCTGTACATTCGGTGGAAACAAAAACAAGAGCCCGTCATGTTTTTTTACCCCCGCCCCAACAACAACAACAACAACCACAACCACAACTACAACCACCACGACAACAGCAACAAACTGCCTGTGGTGTACTGTGTACCGGGAAAGGATTAAATATTTTCAGCATATGTCCGATGATTTCCAGCGTATTTCTAAGGATTGTCCGTGTATTTCAAAGGAGTTTCACCGTATTTTATATGGATTTTCAGTGTATTTGCAGGGATGTTCGGCGCATTCCCAAGGATTTTGTGTTTGTGTCCAAGGATTCACCGTATTTGCAAGGAGATCTTGCGCGTATGTCCAAGGATTTTCACCATGCATTTCGTGCAAATTTCCAAGGGCTGTGACCTGACTGTGATTCGGCTGCGAGCTGGTTGTGACTCGGCTGCGACTTGGCTGTGGTTCCGCTCTGAGCCGGTTGTGACTTGGCTGCGAGTTGGCTGTGGTTCGGCTGTGAGTTGATGATTCGGCTGTGAGTTGGCTGGCTGAGATTCGGCTATGAGCTGGTTGTGGCTCGGCTGCGAGCTGGCTGCATTTGGCTGTGAGTTGGCTGTGAGTTGGCTGCGATTCGGCCCTTTTTGAACCGTTCGCTATCCAATGAAAACCGCTAAACATTCCAGACAAGCCCTTTCAAAACCCATGAGAACCCCTTCTCTGGATTTCGCAGATTCCCATACCTTGGGTGGAAATGTGGTGTAATGTAGGCGGGTGTTGTAAACCGGACGGGGCTGCAGTTTTTTTCTGTACCAGCAGGTAGAGACAAAGTCCTGATTTCTTTGGGGCCTTTATCTCTACCTGCTGCTAGAGACAAAAACTGGAATCCTGTCTGTTGTTTTGAACCCCCCCCTTTGCAAAAACCACCCGGCCCACGCCGCATTTCTATCATGGAACAGATGCCGTGTAAACCATGGCTTGCATCTACGGGCACCCTATGTGGTCGCCGGAAGCGTTCCCAGTTCTATTTGACATAAGTTATGGGCTGCCGTTTTTGTCTGTACCAACAACAACACCAACAACAACATAACACAATATTAGTTATGATAGTAGAAGTAGTAGTAGAAGTAGTAGTAGTAGTAGTACTACTACTACTACTACTACTAGTAGCAGGAGCAGCAGCAGCAGCAGCAGCAGCAGCAGCAGCAGCAGCAGCAGCAGCAGCAGCAGCAGCAGCAGTAGTAGTAGTAGTAGTAGTAGTAGTAGTAGTAGTAGTAGTAGTAGTAGTAGTAGTACGGTAGTAGTAGTGGTAGTAGTAGTGGTCGTAGTAGTAGTAGTAGTAGTAGTAGTAGTAGTAGTAGTAGTAGCAGGAGTAGTAGTAGTAGTAGTAGTAGTAGCAGTAGTAGTAGTAGCCGTAGTAGCAGTAGTAGTAGTAGTACTACTACTACTACCACCACTACCACTACGACTACTACTACTACTCCTACTACTACTACTACTACTACTGCTACTACTACTACTACTACTACTAGTACTACTACTACTAGCAGTGCTAACAATTAATACTAGTAGTGACAATAGTCATAATATAGAAGTACTAAGTAGCAAAATCACACATTAATGTAAACAGACGTACCAATCTTAAACAGACGTACCAACCTTACTGTCTAGTACTCATACTCACATCTAGCACTTAATCTTTCATCTTAGAAAGTAATATCGATATCAAAATCATATTTGCATTATTGCTGCTGCTTTCTTATATTTGCAGCTGTAGGAAATACAGTACTCAGTAGAGCTATACCAACAACAATAACAATAGTGAATGATAATAACGACAACAATGATGATAATAGCAACAATAAAAATGATGGTACTGATAGCAACAATGAAAACAGCAAGAATCATGGTACTAATACCAAAACACATCACCATCATCATCATAGTAATAACATAAACGTAGTAATATTCAGAACAGCGGCAATGATGTTAATGACAATGATAATGGTGATAGAAAAACGATAATAGTAATGATTGTAATAATGGTAATGATATAGTATGCGTGATAATAAAACAGAAATAGCAGCAAGAAATTCAACAACACAAAACAATAATTATTATTGCTGTTGCTAATAATAACAATACAACATAAAGAAGCCCAGGGCATCAGCATTCTCCAGTCCTTGGCATCTATGAAGGTATACCTGACGTCGAGCCGATCCATGCCGCACCTCACCTTCAGCAGATCTTAGGGTTTAGGGTTTAGGGACTGCATTGCAAGGACTACTCGATGCCGCATGACAGCTGAGGTGATTGAAGGCCAGTGGACCTTATGCTCTGGCTCTCAACTCCGTTCCCAGATCGGTGTATCGTTCCAGACAGGACAGCCATTCCAGTACGTCGTAGATGTTGCTGCAAGGATGTATTTCAATCAAGGAACATGACTGCGCACAACCTGAGCTCTCCTCAAAGATGAGACTCGACTCTGCACTTGGCGGCTGATCCTCTGAGCTACCCTCAAGAAAAACATCTTCCCCAACTGCCTAGCGGACAAAAATTCCGACTTTGGCGAACTCCTAGCCACGAGCTCAAACAAAGCAGAAGCCGCTAGAAAGAACCGGCCTCGCAAATGCAAGGCAGGAGCAGCAGGGCACACGTGGCGGCTGGGTATAAACTCTCGCAATGTGCGTGTCCTAACCTGTCAGGATTCTTCGGAAATTGCAGATGCTTCGCTGTCTTGATCCTAGCCAATTGCGGGATGTTTACCGTAGACCTTCAGGCCTTTCGGTGCAAAGGCCAATGTGGTGCCCTTGCCGAGAGACATGAGAGCCAAGCGGGAACCAGCGCAAAACTTGACGGTGCAGCCTGAAGTGAGTTAAAAGCCGGCCTTGGGATTGTGGTCTTGTAGGAAGAGACGAACATGACTCGTCATGATTCCGTAGGCACTTTCCTAAAGACTGCTGATGGCATAATCCGCCTGGTATCCCAAAGCCTTCGCTTCAGCCGAAGTAGTGTCATGTCGCACCGGATAGCCTCTCACGAAGCACGGCATCTGCAGATGCCTGGCAGGGTGTTTGAGGGTCCAAGTGTTGCGATAAAGCAAACAGCATAAGGGAATACAGTGTTTTCAGGCTTCGGGATGACTGAGTGCAGATGACTCGAAATTCCAGACCTGGCAACTACTGAGTCCACTGACGTCCACTGTGAAGTGGGGCGAAGTGCACAACGTTCGTTCATGCATCCTCATGCACAAAGCAAACAGCAACAGTAGTCACAAGTATGAGAAAGCACCAATCCTCCTAACCTCCGGACCAGTGCTCAGGCTCAGCTCCAGAGCTCTTCTGCATCCTAGCCCTCAGCCGCTCGGGCCAAATGCCTGCTGCTTGTTCGGACCTATGGCGAAGCCAACTCATCATGCTCGCCTGGTGCCCGAAAACCAAGCGCATCTCTGCCAGCACCTCGTGCAGCGCTTCGGGGCTTGGGTGTCGGAATTCATTGCAGGGGTGGCATCATGATCAACACGAGCATCAGCATCCTGAGCTGATCTGGAAAGAGTTTCCGAAGCGGAAAAGCATGTGAGGTACTGGAGTGTTGTCTATTGGTACTAGGACATTTGCAGCTTGCTGTATCTTCAGATGAACAATGTTCCGAACGAAGCCTAGGCAAGATTCAAAGACAGGGGCGACAGTGACAATGACATCTCGTCGTGCTCTCCGCTTTCGGCCTTTCGCGAGACCCACAGATTCGGGGGACGGACCTTGCGAGCTTCCCTGACATGATCGTACGGGATTCCAGGATTGTGCAGGTGTGTGATGAAACGAATTCGGCAACTTCGCACAGCTCCATCATGCCATGGCACAGACGCTTCAAAGCTGAGCATCCCCGCACTTTCTCGATGGATCGCCTGCTCGGCAAAGTCGCGGAGCTGCTGCCTCGGGAGGCCCCGAGGCCGAAACTTCAGCGAAAGCCCCCCCCCGCCAAAAAAAAAAAAAAAGAGTTCGAACGCCAGACTCCCAAACGGTTGATGTAGCTGATCTGGGCACTGGGCTCCGTGCTTCAACTCCGTGGATTGTCGGTATTCCGCTTCCACGCTTCGTAGTTGCCGCAGAATGCCCTCTCACGGGGAAATTTGGAGCGAGGCTCCGTCGATTTGTGGAGGTGGACATGGGACATGGAGTAGAGGTAGAGGAACAGGTGCTGTAGTGTTTTGGCCTCGTGACCGGAACAAAAAAGGTCAACAAAATATAGCGATGCAATTGAAGCGCGGGGGGGGAGTGTCTGTGTCTGTCATGTTTTAGGCCGCCCAAGAAAGCCCAGGACCCGCGACCTCGGCCTGCGTTTCCGTGTCCCGGAGCTTTGCCTGTGCGGGTTTTTTTGGAAGCGCAGGGGCTCTTAGCTTGAAAGGTGTTACCACACAGCAGGCGGAGCAGTCCGTGTCAGGCACGGGGCCAAAACCCCTTGAATACAGAAACTGAAGGCCCAAGGACAGCGCAGATCAGTCCGTCCAGAAAACAAGCTTCGACTGCTCCAAGGAGTCCCTGACGTGCCTGGACCTCACGCTGAACCTGCTTCTGCTTCTCGAAAGTTTTGCCCGAGAGCTGGTCTTGAAGAATGCCCAGCTGCTCCTTCAAAACCAGGAGGCTTCCATGCTGCCTAGATTCCTAGATCATCAACGCTGGGTTTCGATCACGGTTTGGCAAGTCCAATGTGATGGTCTATGATGTTGCTATCTTCGACAACTTTTACCGAACCCTTCGCCAGCGCCCTGCAGCTGATTTGACAGTCAAGTCCCAGACGCCTGCTGACGTTGGAAGATTTCCGTGAGACGATCCAGCTCTGACCGCTGCGCCTCGTCCGCTGGATGCCAGGCTTATGATCTAGCAGAGCGAAACTTCGTGAAAGAGCAGGCGGCAGCCCTTGGAATCTAAGCCTTTTTGGGCCAGAGCCCTTTGCACTGAGCAAACGCCAAAGACTTCAAGTCGAATCTGACTGTGGCGCACAGCCTTGATCTTCTGCTTCAGGAGAACAGTATCTTCGTCGTCCGCGCTGTCTTCATCCTCGTCGACCGTCATGTCCTTCTGCTATGCAGGCAGGCCCAATCCATAATTTTTATGACGACAGGGAAGAAGATGTGATGCGGATGAGGGGATGAGGGGACGAGGGGATGAGGATGAGCATGTTACGGTGCTCTCACCAAGGCCCCACACGACGCAGCTCAACTCGGATCAGAAGTGCCTTTCTCCGACCTCTGGCCTTCTCAAGGAGGCCTGGCCTGCCCTTCGCCTTCTGGCGTCGCAGTGGACCCGGGCGATGCGTCCGGCGACTGAGGGGATACGAGCCGTCTGGACATATGGGAAAATGAACAAAGGCGAGCGTGGATACGAGTCTACACTTTCAGGCGCTGATGCTCCAGCATAGGATCTGAAACAAAACCAGAGCTGCGAAGGTCCAAGCGACTATTCGCTGCGCTGCGGCAATCAAGAAAATGGCTACCAGTCCTGGGAGCAAAGACCTATGCGAGTTCTCTGGGCTTCCCAGCGGTTCTCTGCATCTCGCAGGCTGCACGTGCGGCTGCAGCGACGTGCCGAAACTCCTCGGCCTCCTCCGGGCATTGGAAGAGGTTTGGGAAATCCGAAGTGTAGGGACTTGGCGAAAGACTGCACTCCTCCAGCGTGGAAGCGATCCGGCGACGGAGGGACTCCTTGGCTTGAAGATCTCTCCTTTCTCATGCAAAGCAAGGTTCACATCCGCGAAAGTCGATGTAACAAGAACCTTGATCCAAGATTCGACTTCGTGTTTGAGGCCTTCGTCCATCCTTGCAGGATTGAGCTGGAATATCAAGAAAGCTGTTTCGGTTGATGCAAGCCTCGTGCTAGCATTATTGAACTGGCCGTAGCACGCATGCCCCCAATACATCTTCTCGTCAGCACAGGAGTCATCTGTTTGGCAAGCTTGGCATTACAACTTATCAAGCCCAGGAATCTTCGAAGCAAAAACACCTACACCCCTGAGGGCTGCGACACCTCAAGCCCTGAGACCTTCAAGCTGCCTGCGCGGAAAGCACAGGGGCCGAAATGGCCGAAATTATGCCACCCTCCTACAGATCCCTGGCGTCGGACCCGAAATGACTCTGAACGATAATGATAAAGCAGAATAAACGTAACACCCAATCATGCGAAACACTGTCAAAATGCCAGCTAGTTACAGTTTGCTCACTTTTGCGCTGGAGTCCGAGATTGTAAACACGATGCAATGTAAGTCGTTTGGGTCCAGGGCTTCAATCTTGGAGTTCGGTGCAGAGCACCCTGCTCACTGTGTTAGTTTGTTGTGCGTGTCTGGGAAACTAAAAACCACTCATGCATGAGAACACACGTATGAACTGGTTCGCCGATCGCAACTTTGCAAGGATTGCAAACGGTGCAAGATGACATCAGCGCGGGTGCTTGTTTGTTGTTTCTCCTGAGCTGCATCATTGAAGGATGTAGTTGTACTCTCAGAAAAGGCATACGAAAAGTACTCCTTAAGTCCCCTTATCCTGTCATTGTTGCTTATCTCAGTGATGTCTTCTGATGCAGGATGTTGAACTACACAGCAGCCCCTAGGCCCCAAAAATGTTTTGCTGTACTCTGCAAAGCTGTGCGGCCTTCAACTGTTTCAGTGTTAGGGCTCAGCCTGTACTGTGGTAGATTGCGACTCATGGTATGTTGTGGCTGCAAGTCCGACACACTGGTACAACATGCTACACCATGCTTCGCCACCGTATGTGCACTTGCTGTGCTTTGCCAGACTTTTGTCAAGTATAGCATATTCAAGCAAGCCAACTAATTGATTCTTTTGCCAGTCGTCTACAACTCCCTGGATTCACTACGTTGGAAGAGTGACAAAAAGCTTGCACACAGGTATGTGCTAAAGGAAGTTCGGAAGCCGACAGTCGAGATAATGTATGAGAGAGCTGCAAGTGAACACACAGATGTTACTGGCGTTTGCATAAGACTTGTGCTACGGTTTAGCAAGCCACTAACGGCGCAGTGTTGCCGACAAGCGGACCCCACAGAATAGCTTCTATGCATGGGTGCATGCATGTGTCTCTGTATGTATGTACGTATGTAGGTAATCAAGAACAAACCAGCCCACATCCACAGCCAGGCGGGATTGTTACCCCCGACCCCACAACACCATTCCGCAAGGACGAAAAGGGGGAGGGCCACACCATAAAAAGGGGGGTGGGCTGATGCGGCACTTGATGCGGCAACACGGCACCATGAATGTATGCATACTGATGCTGAATACATATGTATGCATGCATATATATATATATATATATATAGTAACCCCCCCACGAACTACCAATCCTCGTTTTGTATCGTAAATACCGTGTCAAACCAGCTTTTCCGGAAGGTCAGGATTCTGCATTTTTCAAAGACTACCAAAATCAAACTCAGGTTTCCAGAGAACGTGTCAGTCAACTTATTCAGGTTCTGCGGGAGCACGTAATCAACGGCAGCACTATTCTCTTCCAATCCAGAACCGACTTTCCCTAGGGAAAACAAAATAAAAATTTGTAAAACAAAACAATCTTTTGGTGAACTGCGCTGCCAGACTCCAAAAAGAGTGCTTTTTTTTGTATTCTTAGGGAAAAACTTTGTTTTCCTGCCTATAACCATCTGTTTCCCAGGAAAAAGTTTGTTCTCCTGCCAAAGACCATCTCTTTCCGAGGAAAAGTTGATTTACCTGCCCAAAACCATGTTTTTCCTAGGACAAACTTTGTTTTCCACACCCAAAACCATCTGAAGCTAGGAAAAAGTTGGTTTTCCGCCAGAAACAAACTATTTCCTAGGGAATACAGAAAAACACCTTGTTGGAGTTTAGCCGTATAGTTTCCCAACAGATGTATTTTTGTGTTTTTTGTGGAAACCGTTTGTTTTCCTTCCCAAAACCAGCTTTCCTTGGAAATAGCTAGTTTTTCGCGCCAAAACCATCTTCTTCCTGGGAAAACTAGACCAAGCTTTTTCCGCGTGCGCATTTCATTTGCGATTCGGGTCCGCTTAACGTCAGTACTATACAATAGACTGGGTAATAACTAAGACAGTATTCGGATCAGTCTTGGTGTCAATAGAAAGCTCGCACGGCTTGGGGTTTAGCAGACCAGGACCCAGGATCAGGATTTCAGGGTTTACACAGCTACCATTACGATTTCTTCCAACTGACTATGGTTGCAAACTCAAGAAAGAAACATTGGGGTCAGATACTGGGTGGTACAAAGGGTACTATATATAGATGACCTCAGGGCTGCTGTTAGGGCGAATATTACGGCCACCTTTGCATAATTGCGAATGACAAGGATTTGGATGGGGTTGATGTTGCTTGGAATCAAGCGTCAGTTAATGATCCTCGTCTTTATGTTGGTATCTAGCACACATTTAAGCTAAGGGTGACATACACGCACATAAATGTACTTAAAGGAATACGAGCACGTCTGGCAGCAAGTCCGACATGACCATATAGCACAGCGAGAAGGGTGTGCCACATAAGGTATAATGTGGATGCAAACAAACACATGATGTTATCATCCCAAAAAATCTAACGGCCATCATTTGGGCAACGCCAGAGCGAACACAGCAAGGATCGTGGTTCTTAGTGGAGTTCGTTTTGTGTAGTTTAGTATTAGTATGAGTACAACGTCTACTGTTGAAGTAAATGTTGGGGCAGTACTTAGCTTACTTGGCTTACTTGTATGAGTATAACAGGGACTCGTATCGGGGATGCCATGACATTAAACTTCGGGACTTCGGGGTCTGGAATGCCGATGTAGGGATACCACAGCTACATCTGGATTAATACTTGTTGGTGAGGCCAATGGTCTGGGTTTCTCTAAAGACCATTATTTGGGCGGCTGTTGACGAAGTATCCGGTACAGTACGAAGGTATGGGTGATGTTAAGATCGATCTTCAGTTTGGGAAACAGGTACAGTTTGAGTCAGATCCAATACTGGGATCCATTCATTAATGGGGTTGTCGAAAAGGATTGCAACATCCTTACTATCGGGAGGTCAATCAGACTGATGTATACTATTGTCTTAACCTTCAGACCGATATGGGTATTAATACGGGGATGTAGAATGGGGTTGGTAGTCGGCATAACAGTTTGACCCATACGAACTAAGACGTTGGTTTATCAGGCATCTTTTTCGGATGAACGTGCAACAGAGTATTACTGTCACTACTGGGGCCAATGTAAGGTCTAATGGCAGGGTTAGTCATAGGGATACTGTTGTTTAGGAACAGGGGAGTCAATCAAGGCTCACGGTCATTCATAAGTATTGCTGGGGCTTTGATCTCAGACTACAGTGAAGCCTATCTTGAGAGTTAATATTCGGGCCCATATTCATCTTCGGGTATTCAGACAGAAACTTTCATCATGAATCATCTCTCGGAGTATCTGTGTGAAGCGTCGCAAATGAAGGCGGCTGCCGTCATACATATGCTCTCCCCTCGGAACTTCAAAAGTAGATCATACCAGAAGCCTAAACGTAGGAAGATTGGTGGCGGTATGGCGGCACCTCGAGGTATTTTTTGGGGTGTTGCCCCGGGGGGGGGGGGGTTGCATGTGTGTGTGTGTGTATATATATATATATATAGTATGTACATTTGTGTGTGTGTGTGTGTATGTCTGTGTGCGTGGGTATGTTTGACATACATACAGACAGACAGACACACAAAAAGACAGAGAGAGAGAGAGAGAGATTCCTTCATTGGAGAAAGCCAGCTATAGCGTGCATTGACGTTGCTAGGAGCGGGACCCTTTCGCACGGTGGGCCAGGGAGGCCACCGAGAAGGCACCAAGGGAACCCAGAGCATCAGTACCCACCTCCGCAGTGTAGTTGGCTGGTCGATTGCATGACTGGACTCGAGCTGAAAGCACCTTTGATACATTCCGATACTGTCAGGGAACCTGCACATCAAGGCTGGAGGGTGAATACCCATGCCCGAAATGGGAAGCAGCGAACCTCAGCCTGAAAAGGCTGGCGACCACCATTGCAATCTCACACAGACTACCAGTACTAACACCATATTTGCTGCTACTACTGAGTACTACTGCTACTCCTTATGGTCCTGCTGCTACTACTACTACTACTACTACTACTACTATTATTATTACTAACACGAGCAGAAACCGCATTTTTGAGGAACAAGGCCACACAGCCCTGGCGCCTTAACCTGCGTGGACAAAGAGCGAGTCAGTGCCGCCGCGTTTGGCCAAGCATTGGCATTAGGTGCCTGACTTGAGCGGTGACAGTCAGAAGGAAAACCATCTTTCCGAGACTTGTATCTACACACGTAGGCTGTGTCGATCGTCTTTCGGTCGGGAGCTATGAGCTTTGTTCCAGCCTGCGACACTTTTTCCACATCGCGGCTCTGGAGCCAGCGCTTCTCACCCAGGAGCTCCTGTCCGCAGCGAGAAGCCCCATTCAGCGAGAGCAAGTTCGGACTGCATGCATCAACTGAGCATCTGGAGGTTAGAGTTCGAGCAGAACCTTGGGGACCGCCGAGTTTTCAAGCCTACGTTGTGAGATGCGGGAGCATACTTCAACCAGCTGACAAGCCAGTGCCCTAACCTCTCCTCGTGGTACATTTTCAATGCCATCAGCTCGTCTTGCAGCCTTTGTTGCGACATGCCATGACACAAAGAGAAGCCAAGACTCGAGCGCAAACCCGAGCCTCGTGAACTCTTCCAGGCTGAGGGAGCTGGCTCCGAGCGGCTCTGCTCCACCTGCGGCCGTGGTTGACTGTGTCCCAACCCAGCATCGCCCATCCTGAACCAGAGGAAATCGAAGAAGGCTCTGTACTGCAAGAGATATCTAACTGGAGATCAAGACAAAAGACTTCAGGCCAAGCGGGTGCTTTGCCAACCATACCCCCGTTTCAGCACCTCTTTCATCCCCTGAGCTCTCGGTGTCTTCCTGCAAACGGCGACACCACTCAAGGGGCGTTTGCACGGGAGGCCGCAGGTCAATGGACGAAGTATTCTGCTCTATATCTCATCTTTACCGCTTCACGGCCTCAAACTGGGGATCTATTCTTTGGCTATACACTTCGGGATCGATGTCCGTCTTTCGGGTCCAAACAGGCCCAACAGACTCGACACACCAAAGCCACTGTCGCATCAAGATTCAGAGTTCAAGGGAGCAGAGTAGCTTGCTCTTTGCTGAAGCACCTAACGGACTGGGGACCCTGGATCGTCTTGAGACCAATGCATTGAGAGGAAGTGCTTGGGGTGCTGGTGCCACTCCCAGTAGGCGATTCCACTGCAATTATTGCACATGCCAGACCGCACAAGTCCAAGCCCCAATCCATGTCAAAGAGTTGCTTAAGCCTGAATGCGGAGTCCAAACACACCAGTCTGTGAAGGATCCAAGAATCGCTGACAGACATGCAAAGTCATGCTATGGCTGCGCATGGCTCCTGCATGCAGCCCCCTCCGGGCTGCATGTTGATCATGCTAAGCGTAGGCCATCCTTTTCAGTTTGACTGCCCCAACCGGAAATTTTCCCGTTGCAGGCAGATGACGCCTTCGAGATACGGTGGAAGAGCTTCAGGGACGCAGGGTTGGTCGAGATCTGCTGTCTGGGAAGGTTCACACCTTTGTGCTCGCTTCGTTTCTGATACGGAAGACGACCAGCAGCTTGAACCGACAGTACCTCTGCGCAGGGCTAAATCTTCGGCCGGGTGGCGCTCTTGCAAAAAATGCATCGCGTCCTGCCCCAACACAGCAAACTCAGCAGAGTCTGGTTGAAAGGTCGCAGTTTTCCCCGCCACAAGAAACCCCATGTCAGCGGCTTGGAACCCCCCCCCCACCCCCGGCCGCCGCGTCTCAGACCGCAGCGATCATGGGTATCGGTGAAAGCTCTCGGGGGTAAGTCTGACCTTGCAAACAACACAGCTGCAGATTGGAGCAGTGGTCTGCTAACTCTGACTGTATGCTTTCAATAGCAAGGTAGTACCAAGGTCATACTAAATTCCCCGTGGTATGACAAATCGTGACTAAACACCTATCGGCTATCTGATCCTTCTATGCTGTCTTAGAAGTATGCCTCATGTATCACAGCTGACCCAGCGCATGAGAGAAGTCAGTTCAGAGGTTCCTGTGATGTTCTTGGAGGCTTCTGCTTCACGAATGCCAAAGCCGAAACTGTAGGCATTCATCTCAGCTCTTGATGGCCAGGTCGACTGCCTGTCTCGGCAAGGTGCGGCCCTGGGGCCCTGGACCCTCTGCTAGACTCCAAGGTGTTCCCTGAAGTTGAAGGAACTGCAGAAGAATCTGTGAACCCGGGGCGAATCCTTCCTAGAGCTGCAAGTGTGGCTTGAAGTGCAAGGCTTTTTGTGGCCGCTAGGCAGCATTGGAATCGCTCGGATGCATTTTGGCGAACTGGCACATAGGGCCTGTTGTCTACACCTCTCCCCCAATTACCTTTTGTCTAGCTGGATTAACTGCAGGCACTCCATCCGGTAGAAGCAGGGCTCATTGGTGACAAGATGCCCATAGAGACAACTTACATGCTACGTTCCTATCTCCAGAGTTGCAACCTGGGCCCTCGTCGCGGGGGTACGCACTGCAACTCGAATTTGCCAAGGGTGACTTTCAGTTCTATGCATGTTGAAGACAGGATCGGCCCCTGGCTCTGGCTCATTCGGTCCGTGCCGATGCATGAATGGCAGACCATTGCACAAAGGATTCGGAAGCGAATTTCGAGGTGCGGCACCATACGGCCAAGAGTGGAAAGGCTTCAAGCCTTACGTGCCAACTGCCTATCCACAGCCTGGCACTCCCGTGCCCACCCAAACTTACTGGATGTGCACGGGCAGACATCGAAACACATCGAAATCACTTCACGCTTTCATCGACGTCCCTACTCGATGATTCGTTCCGGAAGCCAAACATATCAGTCGTGTCTTTCGTTGTCTCTCGCCGTGATCAACCGAACAGCAACCTGCACCAGTCTCCGTGCACTTCTCCACGAATTTTGCTGATCTCCAGCGAGAGCTTCGGGGGCCAAACTCGGGCGACCGACAGGGCGATGCGATCTGAACCAGGCATCGTTCGTCTGGAACCCTTTGAAAGGATTGCAAAAAGAATTACTGAGTTACTGTTTGGGGACTGATACACTTGATCTGCCTGATGCGACGAACGAAACTGATGGCGATGATGGTGCTGAGAGTGATGAGGGTGATGAGGATGATGATAGGGATGATGGGGATGATGGTGAGGGATGACGATGAGGGTTGGTGGCAATGTCAGCAGTAGCCCTCACAGTACGGGTGCTTCTAGCAGAAGTTGCAAGGAGCACTCGAAGCAGTAGCAGTATTAGTAGCAGTAGCAGTATTAGTAGCAGTAGCAGTAGTGGCAGCAGGAGGAGTAATAGTTGTAGTTTTACTCATGGTCCTAGTACCAGTAGTAGAAGTGGTAGTAGTAGTAGTAGTAGTAGTAGCAGCAGTAGTTAGTAGTAGCAGTAGCAGCAGTAGCAGCAGCAGAAATAGAACTAGTGGTAGCAGAAGTATAGTAGTAGTAGTAGTAGTAGTAGTAGTAGTAGTAGTAGTAGTAGTAGTAGTAGTAGTAGTAGTAGTAGTAGCAGCAGCAGTAGTAGCAGCAGCAATAGTAGTAGTGATAGTAGTAGTAGTAGTAGTAGCAGTAGTAGTAGTAGTAGTAGTAGTAGCAAAAGCAGTAGTAGCAACCGTGTAGTGGTAGCAGTAGTAGTAGTAGTAGTAGTAGTAGTTGTAGTAGTAGTAGCTGACAAGCTAGTCATGCGACATGACAAGGACACTTTGGAGGAGGCAGCCGCTGATGCATTACATTGGTACTCTCACTAATAAGCTGGTTTCCGGCATCGTCTGCCTCTCTACTGCGACAAGCAAGACTTAACTCAAGCCCTGCTCCGAGAGCCTTCGCGACTGGCTCTAGGAGTGGTTATGGTAGAAGCAGAAGTGGCAGCAGAAGCAGCAGTAGCAGCAGCTCCGTTCAACCACAACGTCTTGCCATGAAAGCCACAATGCACAATTCTGGAGCCGGCCGGTTGCATGGCCTAAGATAGGACTGGGTTCGAAGTGTTCCGAGACTCACGAGGCTCTGCAGTGGCCCTGTTAATACGGGTGACAGCAAGCCTGCTTGATATGCTGGTAGGGCATCTTGGCGTTCGCTGATTGCGAACAGCATTAAACCCGCATTAAAGCACGTTGCGGCTTGCAACGTCGAATCTCAGCCAACTCTGTCGGCTGCGGGTGCCCCAAACAAGGTCAAGAACTTGCGAGCTTACATGAGCGCTGAGTTTAAGTGTTTGGCCTCGAGTGTTCGCCATTCTCTGCATCACATGCACTCAAAGCGGACTTGACAGAACAGCAAGCACTGCGAGAGGGATGATGGAAACTGTACGTATTCTAATCATAAAATGTAGCATATCTTCCAAGTGTGACCGTTTTTGGAGGAAGCTCCACCCGTTGCTCATCCAACCAGTTCTCACTGGCTCAGGGGGCGGATCTTTTAAGCAAGCCCAACACCACCCCCTGGAAAATGGGTTCCACCTGGCTCTCTTTTGTGCTCAAGAACTGGACCAGATCGTGGCCGGATCGAACCTGTGCATGGATGACTCCAGTTAGGTACATCGTGTTGCCAAAGTTTTTGGGGTTTCAAGCAGTAAGCCAATGACGCAGGTGTTCACAGATTCTGCGAAAGGTCCAGATCATCTCGCCATACTCTATCGGTGCACCAGCAGAGACATGAAGTCTGACTTCGCTGTTGCTTGCCAGGGCTTTTGTCCTGCGATCAGCTCCCTGCCTCCTACACTTGGAGAAGGCGAGCGGAAGCTTTCTGTCTCAAACCGGGAAAGCAGTGAAGGTCGTTGATTCTCCTTGGAGCACCCCTCGAAATCCAAAGGACACAGAAGGGCCTGGACCAAAATTGGACAGCAAAGGCGCCTCATAACATGAAAATCACAAGCCCGTGTCGGCGTTCATGTTCACGAACCAGCCTGCTTGGGCTTGCCGCAGTCTAGGGTTGCATGTCTCGAAATAACTGCACATCGATTACAAACCAGTCGAACTCAAGGGGGTGCAATGCTGCTTCCCACCTCAGCAAACCTGCACTCGAAGTTAGCGCCACGAAGCCTCAAGAACTATGACGAGAGACTGCACAGCTTAGGTTTCAGGATAGCCCAAAACTCGATATATTCTCAGGACAAACACCAGAGATTACACCTCAAAGTCCCCAGGCAGCAGGCCCTGGTATGGATCGGAAGAACAGAATGATTTTACGAGCCCTCCTTCTAGTCGCAGGACTGCAACCCAGCCTGAGCAGATGATCTGTGTCTTCCATGCCCAAATGCTCGACAAAGAACCTTAAATGCTGAAGAAGGCTGCGGCAACACCGCTCGGCTTCTCTGTTGAGAACCACTACACTCACTACACCTGTCTAAAGCCTCCTTGACTGTCACCAACAGCCTCGAAGCTGTGACTCGGGAACTGCAAGCAAGCCGGGCCGGTCCTCTGTCTGTGTTGACTCGCCTTCTACTTACACTGGACGGAGTCATTTACTTCCACAAAACCACAACTGGGCCGAGAACGGCGAATAAATTGGAGCAACTACTCCTCTATGGCATTATGGTGCAGAAAGGCTTGCAGCGACGCGCCGAATTTGGCTAAAGGCTGATGGCTCCACATGACCGCATTGCACACTTCGCCTGAGTCAGATACCCAAGGCCACAGCACTTGTGCTGCAAAGCAGCATTTCCGAGGTTATGCTCGGCATGGTCCTCCTGAACCCGGGCAACGGCATACTCGATTTCGGTGAAGGCCCTGGAGGCATCACCGGAGCTCCATGTCTTTCGTCTCGGGCCCGGCGCACGTCCATGCCGGCACTGGGACCTTCCTCTCTGCCTCGCTGGCCCTCCGTGTCGAGGAGTTGCTGCGCCGTGCGCAAAGCTTCCTCCGTCACGAGCCGCTGCACTGCCAATTGCAGCGGCACGCGAGCTCCAGATGAAAAAACCACGGGAGCATCCGGGCCGTCCAGCGGAGCGTCCGGGCCGAATCGCAAGCAGTAGTATGCCAAGTTGTTCGGCAGGCCTCACAGCATGTGCCGCATGAACACTCTAGATTCTGGGCGAAAACATCTTCCTCTTGCCTACTCTGAAACTGAAAATGGGCCCGTGGCCTGGTGCTTCAAGGCCTAACCTCAACATCCGGGCTACAGAACTTAAGATCGGTCCACGGCAGGTACAGTGGTGCAGGCTTTACTGAAAACGCAATTGTGCCAACACGCTGCATCAGGCTTTAGTTCTGAGGCTTGGTGCAGTTTTGCAGGATACAGCTTGACACCCTTGAATGTTGCTCATCCCACCCCATGGCACCAGCATGCACCAGCTGTGCTGTGTTGGACTGGTTAGGCTCGGGCAGACCGGTCAGTAACAGCGATGCAAAACGACTTCCTCCAACAGTGCGAAGAAGTGCTGTTACCCGCACTATCATGCACTATCATTCAACGGCTTTACATGCATGTTTGCTTGGACAGCAGCACGACATCCACGCTACGTAGAGCACACTGCTTACAAAGAGCATGCCACACGAGAGTGATGTGATGCGTTGCAGTGCCTCGCAAGAGCACCATGCTGGGCAGCGATAGAACAACTTCCTGTATTGACGCTATCTAAACCTCCAATACAATGTTACCCGCTACTGGGGCACAGCATGTGCCACGACCTACGTATCAGGAGTCTGAACTATGACATACTGTATGTTATACTGTGGTACCCATAGTTAGCCGGGCGAGTGAAGATATGTCGAAGCAATCTCGACCTAGCACGCGCCCGCACAAAAGCGGCCCAATGGTTGTAGAGACGCATCTTGCAAAGACTTGCTTAGCTGCTTTTGCCCGCATTGATGTCACCCGATTCCAGCCTTGCAGCCTTGCTTGGCTGATTCGGGTGCGCCCCCATGATGGCTCAGAATGCCTCGTACGCAGAGTTCCACGTTGAAGGTGTCAGGACTTCATAGCTTTAGCAGCTTTTCTTAGCATGAGTGGTACGAGTTTCCAGGCCGGCGTCCTGTTTTGCCAGACGCTCCTTCAGGGTTCCGCATTTCGCTGGCCAAAAGGTTACTGCAGCTCTGGGACGCGTAGCGGAAGAGGATCTGGGCAGCTGCTCGCGCAGCCACTGGATCCTTAGGATTGAGACGCTTGCAAGGCAGAGCGAAGCCGGGCTTCTTTTCTTACAGTGCGAGCCGCTTTCCTGCGTCTCATTTGATGAATCTATACGAAGGAGCAGGAAACAGTTCACATAGCGGCTATGTTTCTCGCAGTCCTGGCTACTACCGCCAGTTAGCACCAGAGCGCTCACTGCGCAGAGCAATCTGCCTTGAGCCTCAACCCTGCACGGTCCATTCCTGCGGCGACGAACGACCTTCGGAAGCCGATGCGCAGGCACAGTTCGACGGCTTCTCACGGAATGCGACTGCTACCAACTTTCACAGCAAGGACTCATTCAGCGGCAGCCACCTCCCTTTGACACAAAGCTGCTTGAAAGAATGGCCGTCACGTCTTCTCAATTCCAAGCTCGACTGGCTTAAGATTCCCAAGTCAAGGCAAGTCTCCACGAAATTCAGAAATGCCAGCCTGAGTAGAAGACCGGATATCGACGAGCGGTCATTGGATGGTGAGGACTTAAGCTTCTGATATTCAGGCAGCTTCTTCTGCGCGTGTCCATGCCTACTCATCGGTGGTTGTTTCTGCATATGTTTCATGTTTGTACGTACGCATGTATCTATGCATGCACGTACATGTGTCCGACGGCGCACGAACATGTGTAATACCGGTCGGTGTTCCTACACACATGAGCCAGCGGTTGATTATTCGCGAAAACGATGACAGCCTAGCGACTCCGGGTAGGTATACACAGCACCAAGCACGAATGCTCACACATAGCCTGCTGGACATGCTCGCCACAGACTCAGTTAGTGTTGTGTCTAACGCTTGGTTTGGCCGGGTCACTCTACAATGCGATGACGTTGCCGAGTACACCTGCAGCAAGCGTGACAACAACATCGAAGTGTGAAGATGAAGCCACCGACGTCTGCCTCCCTCCAACATGTATGCCAATGGTCGTAGTAAGGGTATTAGGCAGTGATCATGATCGCTTTACCAACTCGATTGGTCAAACTCTGTGTCGCAAAACTAATGACACTGACCTCGCCACGGGCCTGGCCATCGAACAGAACTAGTGGTAGGCTGAACAAGAGCAGCGGTATCCCCCAAGTAGAATGTTTTTGGATGCAGCTGTCGCAAGATCGAAAGCTGCTCGTTTGACGTCCGTTGCTGGGCGTAAAATTGTCGCGTGGAAATAGAAACGTGCGCCAGAAGTCATCCGAACCATTTCTTGGCTGTTTTCGCCCCTCCTGGAACAGCAGCTGCACTTATGGAAGGCTGCGACTTTTCAACAAGTCTTGGCGGGCAAGGCTGTCCTGAAATAGCAACGTGTCTTCGCCGGACACGCGTGGCCCGGGAGAATGGTACAACACTTTCTCTTCTTCTTGCAACGCCCCAACACTACAGCCCACCTGCATCATTCCAACTGTCACGAAGGTCGGAAACGGAAAGCCCATCTACAAACCCTGAGCACAGGCCTTGGAAGGTAGACAAAGTCATACACACCTCGCCCTAGTGGTTCCAGAATGTGCAGAAGGGATCGAAGGCTTGTAGAGGCCGGCAATGATCGCAGCATGATGGTCGTGGCGTCCTCCTGCGCAGAACCAGAGCGTACTTCAACCGCTTCGGGGAAGATGGGTGCCTGTCACCTAGTTTTGGAAATGGATTTTTGAGGCACGGCTGTGAAACCTTACGACTTCAGGGCCATAGGAGATTTGGAGGCATTCAGCCCAGAAATACAGGTGCCACCCAAGGCTACCGATAGTAAAAGCAATGTTGTCAAACTGCCACTTCAACTCCAGCTGTAGTGGCTACGATGGCGGACAACAAGCATCATCTACCTCATCATCATGCCATGCATCTTCCTTGTCATGACCATCAGCACAACGAATATCCGTGTCCTCCTCGTCTGCACCCTCACCATCAGCCTCATCCTCGTCATCACCAGCATCGTCAAAGTTCTCACCATCATCATCACCGTCAATTTGTCAATATCACGCTTGTTCGCATTATCACCCCCATCGGATGCATCGACATGCTAATCATCATGAAAGTAACCATTATCCCTCCAAGTGTCGTCGCCGCGATGCTCGTCATCGTCTTAGTCTTCGCTATCGCCGCACCATGGCCGCGGCCATCACCATCATCATTATAATCATTATCAGTATCATGATCATCATCATCATCGCGAGCCTAGACCCTGCATCCTCCAAGATACCAGACGATACGGCAGATGGCTGCCACATAGGACGATGCCTGGTAAGCGTATACAAGGCGTCTGTGTACAGGAGCTACAATTGCAAACATGCGGCAACATCCGAAAGGGCCCAGGTTCCGGCGTCTTCGCCTGTATTTTTTGAAACGTTCCGTTCTCTCAGGCAGACATGCATGTGCGATTGAGGCCTTAGTCTGTATCAGATGGGGAAAGACCTCGTGTTTTGGGCACCTGAGCTTGGAGCACGGAGCCCTTGGACAATTGGTTGGAATCGTAACTTCATCAGGCTTATGATACCCTGCAACATGGACTTGGAACGATGTTGCAAGCGACATGTGAACGGCTGCGACACATGTGCGGACTGGAAATTTGTTGTGAATGTTTCCGCTCCCCCACGGCCTGCCCTCCGAGCATGGCAATGTCATATAAGGCTCATGCTCAGGACTGGCCTCGCCAACCTAAAACCAAAACCCTGATCTCATGCACCCCAACCACAAGTTAGGACCTGCGCTTACAGTCCCGAGAAAAGCCGGAGAATTGGACTTGAGCCAGACATACACATGTACCTAACACGACCTGCGTGGCATGCCATGTTATTGGACTAGCTTGCACAAGCACACCACTTGCAACCAACTTGTAATCCTAAACTACGCTCGACAGCCGTCACAACTGCTCCGACGAAAGAGTCTGTCTTCCTTTCCATTCTGCAATCGTCCACACACAGGCTTTCCCCGGCATTGTGTTCAGAGTTGCTGGATGCCAAACGGATGCAAGGATGCGCCCTCCCGATGTTTTAGGAGTCGCTCCGCAATGAAAAACATCCTCTTCATGGTATCGTCATGTGCGTGGAGTTCGAGGAGTCGACCAGCAGCCAGACCTGCCGCAGAATGTGCGAATGCCGCTTCTTAGCTGGACAAGGTTCGGGCAAAGGAAGCTGCCTCAGTGCCTCAGCCATAGTAAGAGTCTGCGCGAGGCCGCCAAATGGATAGAGGTTGACCTCTGGCCAGACAAGCCCCAACACATAAGACGAGAAAGCACAAATGCAGTAGTAGAAATAGCAACAACAAACTTTCAAGACATCGAAGACGACGACAACAAGGACCACAACGACCGCAAACCATCACCACCACGACGACAACGCGAGCCCCACTAGCCCCGGTCAAAACCGCTGCTGACCTCCATGAAGGTTGAACGAGCAGTAGCAACAGCAGCAGCATGAGAAGCGACAGCAGCAGCGGCAGAAGAAACAGCGGCAGCAACAGCGACAGCACTAGGAGCTGCGGCATCAGCGGCACGAAAATCGGACCACGCTCGGTCCCAGAGCGTGCGCCCTGTTGAGTCAACGCAGGGGCACGTTGGGTTCTGTATGCCGAGCACCATCGACACGAGATTACGACCCGGGAGCATCAGCAACATCGCAGCCACCCCAGAACATGGTGGGTCATCGCTTCTCTTGGGGACATGGGGTGCGCGGTGGAAGAAGATTGCGCACGTGCGCGCCGCCCGCCGTTGATTCCACGCGTCACGCGGAGCTCGCAAGCCTTGCTTTAACATCCGAGGCCCTTCCTTTCGGGTTTGGGGCTGCTCCAGGCTAGGACACAGGCGCCCCTAGACCGTAAACCAGCACACGCGTGCAATAGATTATCTCTACTCTTACTGACAAGGTGCGAACCACTCCAGCACTCCAACACTACGACCACAGCAAGCACAACTGCTCCTAACGCTTCTTCTTCTCATTCTTGTAAAAGGAACTCCAAGGACGGCGCAGACACAGGTGCTCTCGATTCCTGGGCGAATGCCGCCACGGACCAGAGCAAGTCCTGCGGTGCAGCTCCTACCTGAGGACCTAGCGAACAAGGGCTCACGTCTTCAGGTTTTCTCAGTCTGGCTTTTCATGTGCTACAGATTTTGCAAAGAGCCTTCCGTGGACGAGGGGAGAAGTTTCCAACAGCTTCAAGAGTAGGATGCAAAACCCTGGGGACTGGCAGGGCTTTGCTGCTCCTGCATCTGTTGCACCTCCGGCTTCCTCTGTGCGATACGAACTCCAGCAATTCCACGACTTTTTGTTCCAGACCCCGCCTGCGATTTGCCAAAGCTTTGTCTGCAATTCACATACTTGTAGCCCTGTAATCCGAGAAACTGTGCGCGCAGACCTTTGCTGTCAAACGCCTCATGAATGCCTTCTCAGTACAAGAGCGACCATGCTGATGAATTCCACCCGATCTAGGATGCCACTCCCCGAAATCAAGAACCACGAATGGAATGTCCTCCGGAAAGATGAGATCCTCCTCGTTCGTGACATCCTTAAGCAAAAGGGGCTTTCAGATTGTCTGTGGTCACGTTCAAGAGCATCCGAGGCGCAATGGCATGTTATTAGAGTGTACGACTCGAGTATCACAAAACTGCAGGCAAGACGACCCAAAGTGCGGCCTTCTTTCGGGGCAATTCACAAGCACCCTCGAGTGACTCGAGTGACTGGGATGACATAGCCACAGGCACCGCCAACTTGGTATGTCTGTGTCTGTGGGAAACCCAAGGCCGCTGAGGTGCAGGTGCCTCTGAGGCCACGAAGGCTGAAGGGCCCAGAGCATCGGCAGACGTCGGAGTCGGCTCAGAACTCGTCTCCAGCTCCATCTGTCGAAGTCTACGGAGTCTACGGACATCTCCAAGATCCCGGCTACCGGCATCTACAGCTTCGGCTCTACGAATATCTTTCGGTAAGACTGAACACACCACTGCTCTGCAGAATCGATGTCTTCGATCGGAGGGTCCCGCCTTTGAGAGCTGTGCCAGCAGCACTGCCAGCTCCGGCGGGCCCAGCTTCATTCCGCCAGCCCTGCGGCTCTCACACTCGGCGACTTCGAGGCTTGAGCTTCTTTTCCCCGAGGGCTCCCATGTCAGAGGACAGGCATGCTAGCAAAAGCAGTCTGCGGGTGCCATTCGGTGGAAAACTCCGCTTCGGCTAATACCCCAAGCCAGGACTCTGCCAGCGATGCTGGACGGGTGAAGGCGACAACTAGCTGTTTACAAACTTGGTGTCTGTTGCACCCGGGTTGTGCGATTGGAGAGTCTTTTATGCCCTTCATCCTGATGGCTCAATCTTGACATGCCGCCTTTCAGGAGAGCTCTGCCACGCAAATGCAACTTAAGGAACGAGCTTCCCGAAAGACTGAAAAAAGTGCGCTCGGGTCGATACGATACAGGTCATGCTTCGGGGGCAGATCCTGCCTGCCTTTAGGGGACTAGGCTTAGTTGGGGGTTTAGGGTTTAGGGACTCTGCTCATCCCTGAATGAGTTCGGACGCTGTCAGGAAAGACTTGCCTCGCTTCGGCAGCGCCCCTGAGCGGCTGGCCCAAGCCTCGGCTCTTGGCAAAATCTCGGCCAGTGCTTTTTTGTGCCTTCGGAGAGTCCACACCGTGCTTTACGCTGGCCCGCATGCTTCCATCATCGGTCTTCCTGCTCCCCATCCCCATCACCACGCACCATCACTAGCATCTAGCGGTGGCTATCGCTAGCGTAGCAGCATTGCAACTCACAGAATACCACGAACCGGCATGATGATTGTTGTGACTCAAACACCGCCAAGACATGGTCAATCTGCAATCACAATCTACTGTACTCGCATGAGGCCGAAGCAAGAGAAGTCGGCAGGCCCACCGAGCTCCTGCACGGTCACCGGTAGGTGAGAGGATTGCAGACATCAGTGAAGTTCTGGTAAGAGCGCACAGGCAACACTTCACCACAAGTGGAAACCCAAATTCCGACACTGCTACAACAGAAGACCAGGCGACTCGGCGAGCAGCAAAATTGAGACTACGCACAACAGCCGCAGACAGTGCTTGTCTTGCCGTGTCCGTTGCAATGGCCCAGCACCAGCGAACTATAGTATCAGGACACAATGATGGGTTGTAACATAGACTAAGACCTGCAATGAGAGTCTGGCCCCCGCTTCCCTGGGACTCCTTCCCTTTAATGGAGGTTGGCCCTGGACCGGCCTTGCCCAGGATTCTGCGGAACATTGACACCGAGGCATAGCTGCTCGGCACCTGTGCGTCAAGGCTTCCGCCTACATGGATTTAGGGTTTAAGGTTATTTAGGGGAATCTAGAGACCCAGAGGGCTCCAGGCATTGATTTCGGGAGTGGCACGTGCTTCGTGCGTTCTGGATCCTGAACGAATCTAAATGAACCGGCCTCTCACACAAAAAAGTGATTGTCAAAAAGAACACCGACAAAAATCAGCGACAAACCGAGAGCTCAGGTGCAATGGCGGAGGGTCTGGCTAGCAGGCAGAAGCTTGCGAGCCTGGCAAATCTCTGATATCCGCAGCAGCCTGCAATCAGTTGTGAGAACTTGGAAGGACGAATGAGGAGGAAAATGAGACTGGAAATGCGTGCATAAGCTTGAGCACATGCGCTTCATCCCTCCATTGACGCACGCGCGCGAGCGGGTGTGTGTGTGTGTGTGTCCACGGATCTAAGGTAATGCAGATATGGGAAATCACAGTTTCATGAGCAGGGGGCACAGGCCCGTCTTGGATACCTGTGCCAACGAAGCTATTCTAAGATGGGGGAAAAGTGGTCTGATCAACCACCTGTACCTGCAAGTGCGGCCAGCCCAAAATACCCTTAAAAAGCTGTTGTTTCATCATCGGCCAAAGGATGTGACGTAGTGGCTACAGAACAGAAAAGAAGTGACAGAAGAGATTAGAACAAACAGCATCCATCTAAGTAAGGATGACTGGTCAGCAAGTGTGTGTGTGTGTATGAACCTCCCTAGCACATGGGAGCAGAGGGTCACTCCCTTTTCCGTGGTTGCCAACATGACATGTCCATGCACATGAACGGTCGCAGAAACATGGTCATCATGAAGAATTTGAACACAATCCACAGTTTGCAGCGGGCACGGCGCCACAGTTCGAGCCGTGCCAACGAAGCTAAGAACTGTGGTAGAAGCACTCAAGGACGCTTGAGTGTGTACCTGCAAAAGCTGGGGCCCCTGTGCCAGGCACATTGGAGGGCCCCTAAGCCAAGATTGGAGTTGTTCTTTACTTTGCCACAGTTGTCGGTTGAACTTAGAATTCAGCATTTGCAACATGCCTCACTCTTCTTCTCTCTCGCCTGTGCTCTTGCCCTTGGCCGAATCTATCTGTGTGTGTGTGCATGTCTATCTGCACGAACCGCATAGGCAATTAAACATACATACATATAGTTTGTGTATGTATCTTTTTATATATATATACACATAAAACATATGCCAACATAAGTTTCTCTACTGTCATAAGAAGCATACACACAGTTAATGCAATTCATTCACAAGTAATGAGGACGACAAAGGTATTGCCTCCCATGGCCCATCATTGCACAAGCCACTAAGTCAACTCGCGACCTGACATCTCAGAGTATGTAGTGTCCTGCTAGGTCGCCAAGTGCGAAGCACCGCATTGTCAAGAACTATGCTGCATCTCAAGCAGCACTGCGAGAAGCCGACCGTAACGGCCGAAACAAACATCAGAACGTGAGAGCCTGAAACCCGTCTCGTCTCAGCCTGCTGTGCTTCGTGGGACCAGGCAGTCCCACGCAGAGTCGGGTGCTCCGGTCGTTTCCAAAGCCCAAGCGCAGCTCCTGCAGTGCACAAACGACGCGTACATAAGGTGAGGCCCTCACCCACGTGGGGATGATGCCAGAAGGACCTGCATGGGGCATTCCAATGTGTCTTGCGCAAGCTCCTCCATGGCAGAGTTCATTCGTGTCAGCCAGCGCAACAGCTTGGATGGGTTGAAGCAAAACTGCGTCACCACCTGCAAACACAATCAAGCACATGTGAGCGAAGGATGTCGCAGCAGCATTCCGAGTGGTCAACAAAGCCTCAACTCCAAAACCGTCGCAATCCCGGCTTTGCCCTTAACACATTAAAACACCGCGTGTCCTGCAGTGGATTCCCGATGAAACGGTGCATATGACTGACGGGAGTTGTGACTGCCGGAACACAGACCTCTACTGTGCAGGTCGTCGAACCCCAAAGGCTTAACTCCCTGGCAGACACTGAGGCTTTGGGGATCTTCTTCCCGAACTCAAGTGGCTCACCGCAAGGATGCAGGCCAGAGACCGACAAAAGCGGTTACTTAAGAACTCTCTTCTCTGAATGGACCATTGGTCATGAAGTTCCGAGGGGCGATAATGCTGCTATCCACTCACTCCGGCGACGGTGACACATGAAGCCTCAATCCCCACCAGCACCGGCTGAAGGCCTCAACGTCAAGACCGGCTTCCAAGCCAAGGCGCCTCAAGACCGCAGCAGTTACCCCTTTGAGGAACCTGATGATTCAGGAGAGTCCAACAAGTCCAGATTCAAGCTCGCATTCGCGAAATGACTGATGCGAAGGGAAGTCGACTTTGGCCCATTTGCAGCGAACCACCCCGAACTCCCAACCAACAGTCAAAAGTCCTGGCACATCGTGAACATGAAGCCTGGGAAGAAACAGGAAGACCCATAGCAGCTGAGAGCCGAACACCTTTTCCAAGAGTACTTTGGTGGCGACCTCCGGCTTTGCGGCTCTGCGAGCATGCATGAGCATGCATAGGGGGCACAGCGGGGCAAATCCGTCCGAGTCTTGTTCTCACAATACATGATCTTCTCGTTGTTGAGCTCGTCGAAAGACCGTCTTCAGAAACCCGGCCTGCTCGTTCCATCCTCGCCAGGTGGGGCCTCGGTTCGAGCTGTTACTGCGTGTGCACGGAGCGAAAACTTGAGCCCACTGTATGTATACATACATACATACTTACTTACTTACATAAATTGAAACAATGCTGCCATACATGTCATATACACACACATATGCCAACTGCACACCAACGTACACCTCAACCTAATGATGCTTTTCCCGCATCCATCTCGCTTCTGCTTGAAACATTCGTCGGACTACTTGATACATGGTGCCACTGATAACACCTCCGAGAGCATCGTGCTGGGCTCCGGTCATGCCATGTCACGTTCTACTTCAGCATGTGACAATACATCATATACCGCTGTGATGTGTGCTGCCCTAAACCCTATTCCCAAGCCGAGGCTACTGTCCGGCAGCCCGGCGAGGGCTACAAGGCGGATGCCCGCAGCACGCAGGCGAGGACCCTCTGCCTGACCCGGCTTGAGACGTGATAGATATTTGTGCGAGAGCATGCATAAAAACATTGACACATAACACATATATATATATATATGTATAGATATATATATATATACATACACAGAGATACATACATATTATCTGTTTACAAATAAACACCCGCAAACGCGTGCGCCTACGTATAGTCGTATGTACACGGTCCTGTTCGTCCGTGCATGTACATATGTATACATATATATATATATATATATGTATATATGCGTATTTGTCTACGATACAGGTATCTACTGTATTGCATTGTATTGGTTTATACCGCAGTATACTGTAATGTATTGGTTTATATTGTGCTATATTGTATTGTAGTGTGTATTGGCTTATGACGTGGTGCTATATTGTATTGTATGATATCGTACTATATTGTGTAGCGTAGTATGTTATATTGTCTTCGTCTATCTTACCTGATTATAAACCAAGTCTTGCTATATTGTGTTCTACTATCAAATTTCATGTTATTGTACATTGTGTCTATATTAAAAGTGTCTCATATTACATGGTATCCTATTATAACATACTGTACTATATTAGCTTAGGATAGATTATATTCGGCCAGGTTGTATGAGAGTATATCATGTGTCTGTTTATATAGTATATGTATGTCTATGTCTATGTGTGTTCACACAAGGTGCGTTCTCGCCTGTATGCATACGCACTTGCATGCACATACACAAGAAGCATACATGCATAAGTACGTACATGCATACATTACATGAGCTGAATACATAGTACATGCGTACATATGTACATAATACACATACGCATACATCTACACTCACACCTGCACATTCACATGCAAATGTACATGTGCATACACATATCCATATACATGTACATACATACGAACATACGTGCGTGGATGAACACATACACAGAAGTGCAAGCAGCTACTCAGTGGCAGTAAGACTGAGCCTGAAACTATGAGTCATGGTGATACTGGTAGTAGTAGTTGTAGTGCTAGTGCCAGTGCCAGTGGTAGTGGTGGTGGTGGTAGTGGTAGTGGTAGTGGTAGTGGTAGTGGTAGTGGTAGAGTCGTAGTGGTAGTCGTAGCGGTAGCGGTAGTAGTAGTGGTAGAGGTGGTGGCAGTGGCAGTGGCAGTGGCAGTGGCAGTGGCAGTGGCAGTGGCAGTGGCAGTGGCAGTGGCAGTGGCAGTGGCAGTGGTAGTGGTGGTAGTAGCAGTAGCAGTAGTGGTACGAGTAGTAGTAGTTGCAGTAGTAGTAGTAGTAGTAGTAGTAGTAGTAGTAGTGGTAGTAGTAGTAGTAGTAGTAGTAGTAGCACTAGTAGCAGTAGTAGCAGTAGTAGTAGTAGTAGTAGTCGTAGTATTGTAGTGAGTAGTAAGTAATGGTGATAGTGGCGGGGCTAGTGGTAGCGGTAGTGGTAGTAGCGGTAGCAGTAGTAGTAGTCGTCGTCGTAGTAGTAGTAGTCGTCGTAGTGGCAGTGGTAGTAGAAGTGTAGCAGTGGTCGTCGCCGCCGTCGTCGTCGTAGTAGTAGTAGTAGTAGTGACAGTAACAGTAATAAGAGTATTACCCGGTGAATGAACGTAGTGTAGCCCAGTGGTAGTGGCAACGGTAATGGCAGTGGTAGTGGTACGTGCAGTGGCGGTAGTGTCGCGGTAGTGTTGTGGTCGTACAGTTAGTAACAGCAGTTCGTAACAGCAGCGTCAGTTGGAGGGGTTGAGTTCCAGCAGACTAGAAAGTTAACTGAAAGCAGAACCAAACAAGAAGGGCACAACAGAAAGCATGATGACCGGAACAGACGGGTGCAGGACAGCCAATTTTGAAAATCCGATGAATTAACGGTGAGGGGACAGGCCAAGAGGCTGCCCAGAAACCACCAAACAACATCGAACCCAAACTTAGCAGAAGCAGCTCGACCCCGTCACGGCAAGCGTGGGCGCTACCTGGAGAAGCTCGGCGACGCTACCTGGGGAAGAGCAGCTTCATTTTCCGACACGAGACTCCACACTATTCATCCTGCTCGTCGACACATGATGTGAACAAGCTTGGACCGTGAACCCGGCAGCAATGTCCACATCAACTTCCCTCAGCTTCAACACTTCGAGTTTGCCATGGATGCATTGTTCAAACCCGAGGCACCTGCAATCAAACTCAGGGTCAGTGGATGTCAGTGGTGCTGGGCACGGCGAATGCTGTGGATTCCCAGTCGCCAGGTCCCGTCCCAAAGTCCCAAGCCGACAAGGAGGCAAGGCACTGTACAACAGCTCGCCGCGCTCCTGCGCGAAGCCATGGCAGTGTCGATCCATGAGAAGAGTGTGCCTAAACTCCAGGCTGTTCATGCTGCCCTCTACAGGATGCACCGGCAGGAGGTTGGCAGGGTTCACGAACTTATGCACGACAAACGAAGCCTCGGTCGAATGTGCAAGTATACAGCTACGCAGCTACATCTACGTACACATACACATATAACCATGCGTATACATGTGCATTACGCATCTACATATGACATATCTACGTGTCTATTTGTGTACAAGTCTGCTTAAAGGGTCAGGTGCTGAGCCCTTTAAACCCAAGAACATTAAATTGCAATAAAACTGCATAGAAAATGCATTTCCAAAATGCCCTGCTGTCAAACCACTGCTTCCAAAATGCAAAACGACATATTCTAAAACATACACAAAAACGCAGCAAAAATGCAACACAAATGCATTTGTGGCCACATGCCGCGAATCCGGGCATCTGGAATCGCATTTTTGTTCGCATTTTCCCCTAGGAAAATGCCAAAACATGCATTTGCGGCCACAGGCCACGAATCCGGGCATCCGGAATCGCATTGTTTGGCATTTTCCCTGGCAAAATGCAAAAAAAATGCTTTTGCGGTACAGGCCACGAATCCTTGCAAAATGCAATTTTTGCATTTTCCCTAGGGAAATGCAAAAAAAATGCATGTTCCAAGCCTGGTTGAGCTCGCCAAAACATGCCTTTCATTTGGCTTTCCCGAAATCCAGAGCGCAATTTAAAATTGCATTTTGTTTTCAATCGCAATTTCCCAACACATTTGTTTTGCATTCTTTGGCTATTTTAAATATTTGGGGTGGCTAGTATACTAGCCAAGTGCGCCGACCACAATCTTAAGAAATGGAGTGAGGGCCTGAACTTCTCGTTTCAGGTGTGTCCGGAACTGATGAATTTTCAACCTTTCAAATCAAGAAGTTTACATGAGGAAATCCAGCGTACCCTCAAGTCTTGAACACTTGCTTTAGTAAGGCAAACTCGGCTCGAGGATAACATCACCCGAAAAAGAACTGTTTCTTGCGCAGCGCTGTCACTGCATACATATTCCCCGTCCCGAGACAGGGAATGGAGCACCGAAATGAGGGGCCCATGAATGTACCCATTTTTCACTGGCTTGCGTTGAAACACTCGCGGTCCTGCCGCTCGCGTATGTCGTTGCCACCGATCAGAAGCATCTCCGTCGCACCAGCCTCAGGTCCAGAATCCCGTAAAGATGCATCGACAGAGACATGAGCGTCTGCCGGGGAAGATGGAGAGAAGCTGCTTCGATCCCCACAGCAGATGCGGAATCACTGCGAAAGCGGCTAAATCCCTTGCAGTGCTAAAGCAAAGGTATCCAGAAAAGCTTGGGCTTTGATTGAGGGCAGCGCTGCTGAGAATAAGACTGTAGGCGGTTCATTGACTGTCCCAGGCTTTCTATCTCAGTCATCCTTTTTAAAGTCCTGAAACCCGTGCAGCTGCAGTCGGAGTGCTTGTCTCAGCATCTCTAGCGTTTGCTCAAACTCATCCATGGTGGAGATGCGAGACACTGGCACATGTGGGACAGGCCGGTAGCCTGACCATGACACAAAGAATCGCAAGCGCACTGGTGGATGCATGGCCGCCACGCTAGCGTGGAGACTCAAACCAAAGCTCGAGAAAAGTTTCCTCTTTACGGCGCAGTTTGGACATCGTACTCGTGCACTTGATAGTTTGCGCGCCTGCAGCTGAAAGGCTCGTCGATGTTGCCGCGACTTCCTGAAAATGATCCACCTTGGACGCCGAGACCGCGCTGAACTCGGATCAGAACCCACTCTGCACCGCTTCTGAAGCTGCCATCCTGATGTGTTAGCCGCCATGACAAGAAGCACCCGCCGGAAGCAGTCGAAGCCCTTGCAAAGGATTAGTCGGCAAATCCTCGAGCTGCTCTCTGGGGTCATAACGGTCGTCTTGACCATGTTCACGAACACTCTACCTGCCATTCTCAACAGCATCCCTGCCCACGCTGTAGGTGCAAAATCTATGTACAGCCTGGGCCTCTGCACACCTCCAGGCTTGCCAAAGCGTGCTTCACAACGCTCTGAGATCTTTTGCACTTCGCGTGCGTGTTCGAGCAGCTCAAGGGCCCTGCAGGTTCACAGCTCTTTACACTATACATGCTTGCACTGCAGAAAGTGATCAGATTTGCACTAGGTTTCTCAACCGTGCCGCTGCCTACCAACAATCTTATGTCATGCCAGACTCGACCATGACGGTCCGACCAGATGCAGGCAAAGCCAAACCCGTGAGTGATTCTTTTGAACCCAGGCATGGACGGTACGAAGAACGGGTGAACAAATGGTGCTGCTTCTACCAGCGAAAAAGAGGAATGAGCGGCCCGGCTCACCCCAGGTTGGTTGACAGAAAGAAGCAAAAATCCCTGGTAGTAGACCCCAAACCTCGTAAGCCCCGAGACTGGGCCAAAGCGCGACGGGCTTGCTTTGGGGTGGGAGCGGATTCGGAGAGCCCATCAAAGCAGCACCTGTGCCAGGCTTTGGGCGAGTGCCTCGGCCCAGACCCTCCCTGGAAAAGGCAAACCTCCAGCCGCCAGACAGCTTTCGTGCTACGATGTTGGCCCGCCGTTTCTTCGGTCAGTTGTTCGCACTCCCTCCGGCTTGAGTTGCCCTGTGTGGCACTCGTGTCGCTATGGCCAGTGAAGTTGAGAGCAGCACGATGGAAAAGTAACAATAGCTTGATGCCTAATTGAAGCGAGCGCTTCGACTTCGATGGGACATGTGGCTGGAACGTAATTACACAGGTCTTCCCACGCTCTGAACTACCCCATGAAAAGTTGCGGACTACGGACCTCTTTCGAAGATCTGCCTCTGTGCTGACCACGAGCTTGGGGTGCATATCTTGACACAGCTCGGCCCAACTCTCTGAGTCATGAGTTGTCAGAAGACTTGTCAGTCCGATGAAAACTTGCTGACTTGCAGAGCCAAGCCGCTGCTGGTAGCTGGCGAATCCGGGTTCACCTCCACGGACAGGCTTTTCCCAAGGTCCTGGAGGCTCCTGACAGAGTTGGAGGCATGCGGAAGGCGGCTCCAACTTTGGGGCTCGTGGGGAGCTTCCTCTCCAGAAGGCCGCGGCAGTCGCTCTGAAAGCTGCGAACGCTGCGGCCGCGGCTGTCGCGCGCTCGGCCTCGGCCAGTGGAACCCTCGCATCCTGGACCCCGTCAGGTTTGAAATCTACACAGACAAGAAGAAAATTCCATATCACTACCCCAAAACAAAGCCATTGCCCAAAAGCCGAACAAAGATCCAGAACACGAACACAAACTACCTAAACAAATCCTACCCTCAACTATTCCTCAATGAGGTCTAGGTCTGGGACAGAGACCCTCAGACCTCGTATTCTATATCCCCCCGCCACGCTACACCAATTCTCAACCCGCCTATTAAAACAACCTTTCCGGAACACCAAAAATGCAGCACCTCCCACCCAAACACAAATCCGAAGCACAGCCGTTACCCCGGACCTCACATCCCAAATCCCCCTCCCTCCCTGCTTCACTTGCTCTCGCCTCATAAAGTCTTTCTCGCATCCACAGATTCCACAACATTTTCCCATTCCGCGCGTGAATCATAGTTGTGCAATCGTTTTCAAAAGGCAGCTGAGGTGTTCATAACTGAAGCAGCGCTCGGCCACGGTAATTGCAGCATCGCTCCACACTTCATTATCGAACGTGTTGGCAGGGCCTACTGAACGGGATTGAATGTCACTCAAGCCTCGGACACAGGTTTTGCCTAATGCTTCCTGCGGCAGTTTTCGTTGTGGGCTTGGAAGGGTGGAAAGGAGGGTTGAGACTTGGCGCTAAAGTGCTGGGAGAGGGGAAGTACAGGATATCAGTTCTGGGATCTGCTTTCGGTATCTGGAAATGTGTCCAATGAAGAAATTGTCTGCTTCGGTCGCTGACCGGAAGGCGTTTTGGGTTGTGCTGTGGATCTTTGCATGGGTGTTGGGTAGTGGCCCTGCTGTGGCCTTGTGATATGGATTATTGTGCACATTGTTAGGTGTGCGTTGTGTATTGCGGTTTTGAAAGGGTTGATGTGGTAGGAGGGTTGAGACGTGGAGTCGTGACGGGGTACAGGATGTGAGATCTGGGGTATGCCCTCGCTTGCTAGCACCCGGGTACACTGCGTGTCGCCTTATCTATCTATGTATACTGCGCATCCGCGTACACACCTTGCAAACTCCTGCCTGGATGTGCACCCACGGAGCGGCAGGCAGGCGCTGTGCGTAGAACCTAAATTTTATGGTTTGCTGACACAAGGTTCCCTTCCACCTTCCCGTCACCAACAGAAACCCAGGCACAGGGATCTTGTTAGATGGCAAAGAACATGCAACAGCTATTTACAGCAGCCTCCAGCTTGGAAAAGCAACGATCAGAAGATGCGGGATCACACTCGTGAGAGGAGGCACAGCTGGCGGCCGCCGTGGCGTAAAGCAGTCAGAGAATCCTGCAATGTTTTGCGACTGTTGTAGGCTCTCCGCCTAAGAGCTACAAGGAGCGACTTGGGCTTTGAGCAGCTCCAAAGGGTTTAGGCCGTTTAGGCTCACTTGCACGTCACGTCTGAAGACTGAGGGGATGTTCCCTGCAGGCCTCCTCGGCCGATACGTGCAGCCGCCGCTGCCATCAGCGCCGCCGCTCGCCGCGGCGTGGCCATGGCAGGCATGGCTCGATGGCTCGATAACTTCGCAAGTGCAACGCCGCTGGCAGGGGGTATGATTGCTGAGGGGTGTCATGGGCACAAGGAGCCTCTTCAATCTTCATGCATGTCATGTACCAGTGGCTTTCATCCCGTCGCAGCTCCAAGTGCAAGTTTGCAGCCCCAGGGGCTTGCGAGCCTCCGGGCGGCCTGCAAACAGCGGTGTCCGAGGGCGCGGCGCCTGCAAGGAAGCTCTGGTCGGAGCCCGCTCGAGAATCTCTTGCTAAGCATTCCGCGCCTTCTTGGCGCTGCTCGTGTCGACGAGGTGCCGCATCGTCGGCCGCCCGTGCGGGCAGTTCCACGGCTGTTGGAGAGTGCCTGGCAATGCGGGAACGGGTATCGGTCGCGCCCTGAGAAACGTGGCAAAGGCCCATGAAAGCTTCGCTACCAGAACATCACCAGACTCGCCTAGATTCCGCAGAATCCTCTCCATGTCCGGGATGCGCAGGGCCTGCGGCCGTGCAAGGAGCATGCATTATCAAGAGCGACAAGAAATCTGACATATTCTGACAAGAATGATTCCCGTGAGGCTTCTGTCTGGCGTCGATGAAATCTTGCAAATCCAGGACATCTCAAGCGTCATCAAACGTCCGAATGCTATGTTGTCTCGTACACGGTCGCCACTCCTGATGCCTGGCATTGAAGCAAGCGTTTCCGCACGCCCCACATGACGCATGAGACACGGATTGCGCACCCGAGTCACAAGTACTGGAAACGACAGAGTAATGTCCGTGTAGAGATCTCGTCGTATACGCGACCAAGCAGTCGACCGCGGCATGTCAGTCCGTCTTCAGCGCCTATGCCGCGTCCACAAATAATAGCTTCTGACGGGCATCGCCGCCTGCTGCGAAGAGGATGCGGCGCTGGGAAAGCACATCCAATCCAAGAAGGACGCACGGCTTGGACTCATCACCCACAAACGCAGTCAGGGCCGGCATGTTGCCCACGGCAACCGTATCTGTTGCCAGGGACACGGCCGTCTCCCATCCACCACCCTCGCGTGGTGAGCCTCCCAGTGGCAGCAACACCTTCTTGGCAAGTGGAAGCTTGAGTGGCCGACCATCCACACCTATGATCATGATCTCCACCCCCTTCTCCGGCGAGACACCAAGACTTTCTGCAGCTGGTGCATTCATAGCGGAGAATGCCGCCCCGGTATCAATGATGCCCAGCGCAGCCGCGGCGCCATTGCTTCCCGGCTGCATCACACGCACCCCGAGAATGCCCAGCTCTGGCAGCACGACGCCCTGAACTTCTCGCATGCCTTGGGCTCGGGCCATCGCGACACCTGCGCCGGGTCGCCAGAGCCGAAGCTTGCCAGCAGCAAAGTCGAACTCGGCGTCATAACCTTGAAAGGCCTGGAAACCCAGCATCCCGCTTATGGGCACGTTCTTGTCCACCGTCTGCTGCGGAAAGCTCGTCACGGCCGCCTCTAGCGCTGGCAACTTCTCACCACAGCCGAGACTCAGGTCCACAACCTCCACCACCTGGACCTTCTCGCCTCCCCCCGCAGCCTCACCCTGAGCAGATCCTAGAGAACGCAGGCGAAGTCGTTTCGCCAGGTCGGGGGATACAAGCGCTTCGCTAAGGCCACTGTCGAGCATCAGGTCAACAGCCTCCCCCTGGATCGTGGCGCTGATGCTGACAAACTGACCGCCAACTTGACCCTCTACCCGACTCAAACGCCTCATCGGCACTTCGCAGACGGGCTTCGTGTCGGTAGCAAGCCCGGCGCCCGTGCCCAAAAGCACATCTCGCCGGGAGGCGCTCAGTGCTGTCGCTGGGCAGGTGTTTTTTCGCCGGAGCTGCAGACGGTCTGCGAAGCCCACGAAGGGCCGCTCTCGCAGCTTATCCTGAAGAGACAGCTGCACCACCCCAAGCAGCAGTAGGAAGCGCCGGGACTGCCTGACATGAGCTCCATCTGGCTTGGTCGCTGACAGCAGGCGGCGCATCCCTCAATGCGAACAGAGACACGCCACCCCTGCTGCCAAAGATGCTTGGTGCCGCTCTTCTGTGAGATGTGTGAGGTGGCTGATTTCTCCCCGGAAAATGACACGTCTCACAATGCCTCTGTTGACAGCGCCATAATTGCAATGTTAAGGCTTGAGCCAGGGCAATGCTAAGAATGCCATCCTTGATGCTTGAGCAAGAGTGCGTGCTGTCAGCGCACACACTACAAGACACGCATCTAGTCTTGTGTGGCAGCATACGTGCCAAGCGACAAGGAGTGGCATCAGGAACATGCAAAATCGCATGATGATCATCACTTCCTTAACTTTAGACAGTACATGCTGGCACTGAGAACTGTGGTAGTGCTCGTCAACCTGATCATCATCATCAACATAGATGCTAAGCAAGAGACTGCCTAGACCTGGGTTTGTCACGTTCAACGGAAGAATGAGGTCGGCCTTCCCAATCATGGTCGCATATCGGCAGGCGCGGGATGCAAGTAGCATCCAAACCTGACAGATGCCAGCAGAAACTTCAAGTGGCTTGCTGAAAGATGTTAGATGGAGCTGCTCTGAGATGGAGCCACACCTCCAATTCTGCGAACTCCCTTCTTCAATCATCGACAATCCCATCCAAAGCACCCAACCAATCCAAGTGCCCTACGTTATTGCGCACTTTTCCTTTGCCGACATGCTACGCTTTTGTGAGACATGGCGTTGATGACTATTTTCAGCAAGCCTCGGATTTTGGCAACACCGAAACAGCCAGGCCTCATCTGCACTTTCAACTTCTTGCATCGAAATCACAGCAGCCGCTGTCTGACGTTTCTGAAATGAAAGTTCAATCTTCTGCCGTGACCCTCAAGATTTACATTGGCCTGCTAAAGGTGAGACGGCCGTTAACGGCCTGCCTGGATCCGACGGTGTCCACTGGCAGGGGTAGTGGCGTGGCAGCACTGGTAGCAGTAGTGGCTAAGCATTTTTCGTAGCAGTCGAAGTAGTTGCACGTAGTCAAATGGCAATAGGAGAAATAGTGGCAGTAACGACAACACTACTACTGTAGTAGTCGTCGTCATTGTAAAACAATATAGAGGTTCGCGGTGCACATGGCAGTACACTAGTAGTGTGCAGAACGTCGTATGCAGTCCATAGTACGTAGTAGCAACAGCATCATCGGTAGTAGTAGTAGTAGTACTACTACTACTACTACTACTACTGCTACTACTACTACTACTACTACTACTACTACTACTACTACTACTACTACTGGCAGCAGCAGGAGTAGTAGTAGTCGTAGTACTAGCAGGAGTAGCAGTAGTAGCAGTAGTAGCAGTAGTAGCAGTAGTAGTAGTAGTAGTAGTAGTAGTAGTAGCAGTAGCAGTAGCAGTAGTAGTAGTAGTAGTCGTCGTCGTCGTACTTGTTGCTATTGTTGTTGGCAGCAGCACCAGCAGCTGACGCCGGCGACAACGATATCGGCGATGCTGAAGGCGGCGAAGATGACAACGACAATGAGGAAACAGAGCAAAATACAATGTACATTAGGGTGCACGTTCGAAAATGCTCGGGATGTCGGCAATATCGGTGGCATCTAGCAAGAAGGAAGTCTCCGTCGGCCAGACAGTGCTCCGGGTGTAGACGCTGGAGCCGGGAAATTGCAAAGCTGCCGGCAGTAAGCTTGCTCTTTGCCCGCATTGTTCCGAGGCCTCCCTGCCCTGCCTCCTGAATTGGATGATGCCAGAGTTGGCCCCGCTTCACGTGGCTCGAGGGACCCATGCAAGTGTCTGGAGCATTCTCAGTAATTATCTTAGGGAGGGCTTAACTCAATTCACGAAGATTTCTGCTGCAGGTCCCAACAGCCCGAAGGGGCGCCAACAGCCTGTAGCTTCAGCCAGCAAGATGCTGCCAAAGGCACCGCAGGACGAAGGCACCTCGCCAGCATGGAAACTTCAGCTTGCGAGTCCCAAGCAAGACCACGGGAGTAAATTCAGGAATCAGATGCCAAGTTTCGTGCCTGCCCTCAGCACTTACACTGCTTCGTCTTCTTCTCTCCAGCATCACGACCATGTTCCTGTGGCGGAACTAAGTCGGGAGAGGTGCATGCGAAAGGCAGCTCGCTTTTCCGAACGGCCCAATTCTGTGCCTGAAGTCACAAGACCTGAAGCCTTCGACAAGCTGTGCACTCCCACAGACTCTCGGCCTGACTTCGAAGCTGGAAGCCAGTGTCGCTCGGTTTCGCGCGCTCCTTGCATAAGTAGGGGAGGGTGAAAGCAAGCCGTCTCAGTACGAACAGGATTTCAGTGCCTCTTTCAAAGCTCCAGCATGATGTTACCGCAGCAAAAGCCGCAAAGCGTGCCTCTAGGCTTGAGCCGGAAGCACTTGAGCCCCTGTCAGTTCGGGATTGCAGTCCGCAGTATCCGTCGCGAAAAGGTTGCAAGTTTTCGGCGATCACAGGTCACGTGCTTGAAGTCTGAGGTTGAGTCTGGGTGCAAGGTTCGAGCCAGGATGCGTAGAAATCTGGAGCCCTTTCCCTGCATCTGGAACACGGCACAATTCGTCGAGTTGCCGGAGAGGGCCCAGGCCGCTCACAGGGCAGCGCAGCCGCCACTTGCCTGAGCGATGAGGACCCGAACCGAAACCCTGAGAAGACGCGAAAACAAGCAGTGGTATCCCAGTCCCTGGGCGCGTGACTGAAAAAGGGCATTCACGTTTTCTCCTGTCATCTTCAAGCTCAGGGTAGCCGCGACAAGGCAACGGACCCTCGAAGTCCTCTCTTGGCACTCGTCTCCAGAAACAGTACGCCGAGCTCCTGCCAAAAACAGCTGGACACCGCCACAGTTAGGCTTTGACGGTTGGGTCTCCAGTCCTTGGCAAGTTCTCGGCCCTCCTCCTCGGAGACCTCTGGCTCACAACACGACTCCCAGCCCGGGGGCCCCCGAGGAAAAACCAAGGTGCTCCCACCTGGCGCTCGTCTGCAAGGTCCAGCTTGTTGCCGACAACTGCCAGAACCGCTTCCTCACCTTCGCAATGACCGACAGTGGCACGGTTTTGCAACACCGTCCCAAACATAGAGACCCAAGTTGTAGAACGCGGCGCGATAGTGATAGCAACGATGGGACACTCGAAACCAGGAAGTCTGCAGCATCCTAGATGATCCCTTTCCGAATAGAAGACCTGCTGAAGATAATTCGACCGGAACATACCACGAGTTCGTCAAATCGGGACTCGCAGCAATATCGCTAGTCTTTCCTTCATGACATTGCCGGTTGCTAGGCCATGATACTCCCTGCGCACACATGGCATGAGCAGCTTGTCACTTGCTAGACGCTCGTATCTGGAAGCATGCAGACACGTGACATCACGCGACCCAAGGCTTCTTGAACGGAGAGACATTTGTAGCCTCAACTTGCAACCGCAGATAGCGGGGACACGGGCCAACACGCTGAACCCCACAGCCTCACGCCCTAAACTGCAAACCGAGCCCAAGCATTGAGCCTTAAAGTTATTAAAGTTTCTCAGCCCGCCCCTGCCTCTCTCCGCTCGGACATCGGAGATCCAGGCCCTGCCCGCATGTTGGGCTTCAGGCTCTCTCTCTCCCCCTCTCTCTCTCTCCCTGTCTCTCTGTCTCTCTCTCTCTCTCTCTCTCTCTCTCGCTCTCTCTCTCTCTCTCTCTCTCTCTCTCTCTCTCTCTCTCTCTCTCTCTCTCTCTCTCTCTCTCTCTCTCTCTCTCTCTCTCTCTCTCTCTCTCTCTCTGTATATGTATATATATATATGCATTCATTTATTTATCTGTAAAAATATACATACATACATACATACATCTATATATATATATATATATATATATTATACATATATATATATATATATATATAATACACAAAAAATTCTTTCGCCAGGCTTGAGGGGCGAAAGAACATAAATCTCTCTCTCTCTCTCTCTCTCCTTCTCTCCTCTTCATCATGGCATGAGGGCGCATCAAGTACCTCGGCCGCCAGGGCCCTCCACTCTTGTTATTGGGGCGTTGAAGGGGAGTGAGACTCTCCCGAGCTGTATTACACAACATAGGTTCTCGCTCTCTTTCACAGTTCATTTGGTCGGATGTACTACATCAAAGATTGCCCATAGCAAGGTCGTCGAACTTCGGGAAGCAATGTTCAGATGTTAGCCAAATGTTGCTGCACTGCCATGGCTTACGAGCACCTCTCAGCATCGCGATTGTCGCTCCACCCTTCGACACCCTGTGCACTGCCGACAAGAATCGGGCCCTCGGGCGAGCCCTGACCGGCCAACACCTGCCAGGCCTCGTTCCCTGAAAGGATGCTTGTCTTGTGATGTCGTACACGATCACTGCAGCCGCAGCATCCCGGATGTAGCTGGGGATTAGGCTTCGGAATCGCTCCTGCTGTCATGAAGCTCAGTAAAACAATCGGGGCTGGGCTGCTGCTATCGACGCACACTTCAGTGCACGCTGTGGACCCAAAACCCTCAGCAGCCCACCCAGCATCTTTCGAGCGCGCGCAAGATGAACATCTAGTCTAGGTCGCCCGGGCCCTCCTGGCCAGCCGTGTCCCACAGCTGAAGGCGCATAGACCTCCCCTGGCGAAGACGCAAATCAATCGAAGGCTCTGCCAATACTGCGACTCTGTGCTCCTCCGGATTCCGCTCCACTCTCAGTTCCAGTGTTTGCTGTCGGCGGCGCTCTGCTTCATAGTTGACACAACAGCACAGGCTCTGGTGCAGACAATGTGTCCAAATTTCACAGCACTTCTAAGTCCGAGACATCATCGAGGTATGCGGTCTTGCTCTGGAAATCCATTCCTCCAGGGATGCAAGGCGCTGTGGAGATGGCACAGCTTTCGTTTGTTGGTTCACCACGTCCCTGACAGTCTACGAACACGACGAGTCCCACCACCACATGGCAGTCGCGCCTACGGTGGGCTGCACGCCCTCCTCAAAAGTGCCGTACATGTATCTGCGGACCAGCGATGTTTTGCCTGAGTCTCACCGAGTTATGACTGCACAGCCCTCACAGGCATGAATTCGCCACCAAACCTGCAGACAATGAAGCCCAGGATGACAAACCAAGACGTTCAACTCGACATATTTGGTGCAGTGGGCTCTTGCAGAAAGCCCCAATGGACAAAACTGGGTAGCCCGCCGGCTGCCTCATCACCAAGTACGACAACCTTCAAAAACATGTTTTCGAGTCTACCCGTGTCTGCTGTAGGGCTTGACAGGTATGGGTTGGGGCTGCGGGCCGAGGGTTGGGTTGAGGGTGTTGCAGGACTTATGATGGTGGTGTCGATGATGATGTGCGGCCTCAATAAGATCACGCTGGTGGTGATACCGGCGGTAGCTGTGATGATGGTGATGATGATGGTGACGGTCACGGTTGCCGCCAATTCCCGCACTCGGGATTGCTTCGACATGCAGGTTCTTGTCCGGGAGCCCTGATCATAGCACAACAATATTCTTATCTGAGGCTTCTTTTAGAAATCCTTCGCCACCCTTTGGCACATTCCTAAGACTGACGAAAGAACTCGTTCCGGCCGTTTGCCTTGAACTTCTTGGGCGCTCCGCCACCTGCGACGCTTTGGGATGAGAGTCCCAAACGCATTTCGATAAAGATTGTCGAACCTCAACGGCCCTCATATCGAGAGAAGATCCCATATAGGATAGCATGACAAAAAACAGTAAATGGATAATACGAAAGAATGAAACGCAACGTCGCAGCAGTCACAACAGCCCAATATGTTGCATGCACCTGTATGTCGACATGCGTATCTACATGTAGTTGTTTCGCAGGGGAGGTCTACACAAAACAAGGTTGCGTACTCAGCAAGTGCAGACCGAGCCTGAAGCTGCACTCATCCGGCTACAGGGCACCCTGGCGGCAAGGCTGAGCCGCAATCGCTTCAGAGAAGGGCATCGGGTAACCCCCTCTAGGTTCATGCAGTGCCCTGAGGCCCTAAGGGTCCATTCAACGGGGATGCCGGAAAAGGAACTTCATCGAATCTAGCACTACCCTTGCTTGTTTTGCAAGCAGTCTTGAGTCTTGACATAAAAGTTGCATCGCCAAAACGTACTCATTCAGGAGAGCAGCATCACTAAAGCATTACACTCGCTGCAAGTTGCAAAATGAATAGGAGCGCACAAGCGCTCATGCTCACCACTGCACCTGCAACCTTCCACAGCCTGTCAGCACCCACGCGCCTGCCACTCTCCTCTTCGGCTCACTCCATCGGTGCTCCGCCGCCCGACGAAATGCCCGCACTTGATCTTCACCCGGCCAGCACAGAAGCACAAGCTCATGCAAGCTTCTGTCCAAACCCTCGACAGCTCGCAACAAGAATGGGTTGACCGGACCGAGGAGGGTTTGTGAAAACAGCCCTAAACACTACACATGTGGCCAGAAACCGAAACCGCTTCAAAAGACAAGCTCGAAAGCGCAAATAAGCAGCTGTCAAAAAAACAAGGACGCAAAAACACAGCCCACTTAAACCCCAAAATGCCCCTAAAGCTCTCAAACCTAAATCTCTCAGACCCAAACTCAAGTCCAAAGCAAAGGTCGAAACCTGCTGCAAGACTGGCTGAACACTCCTCGAAAAGTTAAACCCTGCAGCCCAATCATCCCGAGAATTCTAGAATGCCACAGCGAGTGATGTCCACGAACGAAGACAGATCAGGCAGATTTAACAAAGAGCAATGGGCATTGCAGGCACATGTGGTAACATGCACAGACACGCTCGTTCTCCTACAAGCGCCCTCGTGGCCTTCTGTGGCCTGGGCGCAGCAGTCGCGCTCCAAAGTGCCCGATGCCCGGAGAGGTCCAGGAGCCCTGCAAAAAGACATCCGAAGCTCTGGAGGCTGTTCGGGAGGATGTCGAGAGGTAGGGGCATGGTTGCCACAAGGGCTTGCCTTTCATTTTTTGGGGTTGAAGCGGCGATGTCGCTTTGTGTTTCTACGAGCTACAGCGACACGACGCAACGACAAAATGCCAAGGCAACCTCGAAGCTCAGGTGAACTTCCCTCGATACTCTTTGCAGCTCCCAGAGGCTGTTGCTTTGTGGACATTGCACGGGGGCCGGACAGCCAGACAAGTGAAAGAACACATCTGCCGGGAGACCCCCCTATCCTTTGCCGCCTGCGTGGTCGGACTGCGTCAAGTTCTCTGACACCTCTGCCTCCTCCAGCTTGTACCTAGGTGCGAGGTGTCAAAATTCATAGCTTGTAGCAACGGAATACAGTAGTAATCTTCGACGCATGCAGCACGCTGCTCTTTGTTAAAAAAGCCATTTCACAGCAGGCAAACCTCGACGTGGGCTGGACCCTCGAGATCAACAAGAGGGGCGCAGGAGGTCATGAATGTCCTTGTCGTTGAAGACCAGTCCCTGACCTCAGGCGCCAAGCCGATTCACCCTGCGCTTCGAGCAGAGAAGGCCCCTGTTTTGCCAGGCGAACCCCAGCAAAGGCCCCCGGGCAACTGGGCAACGTAGTGGCTCGAAGCCTTCGCCCAGGCGGCTGCGCCTTGGGGCGGGACTCGAAGGCTTCGGATCTCCCCTCCCGGGAGGTGGGAAGCAAGTTGCTTTTCAAAAGCGCTCTGGCAGTTTGTGGCTAAAGATCTGAGAGAGGATCGGGGGCTCGCATTTAAGTCGATACTCAGGAGATCCCTCCCCGTCGAGTATCGCGCCCCTCTGCCAGCGCTTAATGGCTGGCACATCTCGGAACAGCAGAGCACGACCTAGAGGGACACATCTGACTAAGAAACAACAACACCGATACGGTCTGGCATTCTGCACCATCCAGGCAAGGCAATGTGGAGGTAGCCAGTCCCTGCAGGTCTGCACTACGACTCATATAGCAACCAGCACTTTGCGCTGATCGTTGGGACCTTAATCCTCCGGACGCCAAAGTCAGGTGCAAGTCTCATGCACCAACCATGCCGAAGTTGAAGATGCGAACCTCGCGTCACCAGGAGACCAAGCAGCTGTGATATCAACTAGCATCACCACTGCCCGACGACAAGGCCTGAACTTCCACTCGCATGGCTGGCTGTGATGCCCTAAGGGCCAACCTGACCCCTGCGTCGCACATCGCTCGAGATGACCCGACAGGACTCTGGGATGCAAGAAGTCCATTCGCCGGGCCACAGGAGCCAGCTTGCCAGAGGAGCCCCAAGCAGCCTGACAGGCTCGCAAATTAGTCCGAGCATCCTTCCGAACGGGGTTTAAGCCTTGACCCTAAAGGCAAGTCGGTCTGAGGATGGAGCTTCCGGAAGCCTTTCAGTAGTCGGCTGGTCGGCTAGGTTCATTTGCTAAAGTCTTTAGGACTCACATCTCAAAGCCTGAAGGAAGTCGCTCTGAGAAAGCGCAATAACTGGGGCAGTTTTCATGGAGGCTGACAGTTGCTGGTACCACTCATCGTCATCGTCATCAACATCACCCCGCCAGAATTCATGTGGGCCCTTCTTCTTCGCCATCCTCCCAGTCATAATCGCTAACCAAATCCATCGTGTCTGTAAATATACGGTCACCTCGATATACAGTCACCATCACTAGACGACACTGCGGTGGCAGCCGCGACGACAACTTCCAAGCAACCACCTATCACCACCACATCTGCGACTGCAACTACGACGACGACCACGACCACCGCCACCAACAACCACCCCCTATCACAACCACAACTGCGACAACAACTTCCATGACGACACCGACGACGCTACTTCTCTGACCACTACCACTAACACTACCACTACTGCTATCACTATATCATTACCACCTCCACGACTACTACGGCGACGAGCACTGCAACTACGACTACTCCGACTGGGCTGCCGCTACTACGACCACTACGACCACTGCGACGACGACGACTGCGGCAACGACTCGGCTTCGACGACAACGACGACGGCAACTTAGTGCTGCTGCTGCTCCTGCTACTCCTACACCTACTTCTGACTAGTCCTTCCTCCTACTACTCCTAGTACTCCTATTCATCCGACTACTACTGCTGCTACTGCTACCACCACCACCACCACCACGACTCCTACTACCACTGCTGCTGCTGCTGCTACTACCACTACCACTACCACTACCACTACCACTACCACTACCACTACCACTACCACTACCACTACCACTACCACTACCACTACCACTACCACCACCACCACCACCACGACTACTACTACTACTACTACTACTACTACTACTACTACTACTACTACTACTACTACTGCTACTCCTACTCCTACTCCTACTCCTACTCCTACTGCTTCTGCTACCGCTACTGCTACTGCTAGTGCCACTGCGTCTGTGACTGCCACTGCCATACTACATGCTACTGCATGCTACAGCTATTCGCGATGCAATGCAATACTGCTGCTGCTGCTGCTACTACTACTACTTCTACTACTATTGCTACTACTACCACTACCAGTACCACTACCACCACTACTACCACTACCACTACTACTACTACTACTACTACTACTACTACTACTACTACTACTACTCCTGCTGCTGCTGCACGTCGACGACCACCACCGCCACCTCCTCCGCCTGCCCTGCTGCCGCCCACCTCTATTCTCCTTGTCCTCTGGCTGTTGCTGTACCGCACCGATGTCGCTACTGCCACTGCATGTCTAGACGACTCGAGAACAACGCAACGATTAGGAAAGCGACCATGACAGCGAGAATCTCTTACAGCTTTGGGCCCCCAACCGTGGTCCAGCTGCGGCTCATGAGGTCGACCGGGCAGACGCTGCGGGCCATCTGGCATGCGAGCATCATCAAAAGCAGCGATCATCATGGCTTCAGCATAGGCATAGTTACAGTTCGGATCACACTACATATGGATCCCTTAGAGTCTCCGATGATGCCAACAGCGAGTATGATGTCGCTGCTGATAGTGATGATGATGACGGCGAGGATGATGATTGTGAAGACGATAGTGACGACACTGACGACAATACTAATACCTAACCGGAATTACCAGGACCCATCATGCGTAAGGGGGTACCGTACGTGCGTCCGAATGTAAAGCTTGCGTGCCTGAAGGCTTCGCACAAGTACTTGCTCGCCGTCGGGGTCCGTAGAGATCACCCAACGTCCGCCCTGAGCTCAATTCACGGATTTCGGGTTGCTTTCAAGAGCTTGCAGCCGCTCAGATCAAGACCTCACGTGGGGTCCAGATCAGGAAGACATTCGCCTCAGCTTGCTTCCAGGGCTTTCGGCTGGGCTTCCAGAGCCGAGGTACTTTAAGACCAAGATCGATCAAGTAAACTCCGAGTCCATCGCAACAGATTCCTACGCTATCCGAAGCTTGGGAAGCGGCGTCTTTCTTCTTGTACACTGCACGGTCATGACACTTACCTCGAAATTTGCAATCACACTCAACACCCAAACTGTCCTTCAAGCGCACTCGTGATCGGGTCAAGGCCCTGAGCTGCCGAATGCCCTCGTGTCTCCAGGATTCACTGAGGCGACGACGGTCCATGAGGGTGTAATCGCCGGTCGCCTCAACGCAATCTGAAAGTCAAGCCCTCAACCATTCGCCAAGGCACGCTCAGCCAACCCTGAAGCACGCAACGAGAACCCACGAAGCTTGATACACCCGACACTGCGACCCAGAACCCTGCATTCAGCAAAACCAACTCCAAACTGTCTACGCCAAAAAGGCGTGTGAACATGCCGACGAGCCGCGGAGGAGCAGCCTTCCGCTAGGATCGTCAGCTTGCTCACCTGAGGCTTCAACTGGAAGAGATAAGCCCCGGTCGGGCTCAAGCAAATGTCCATCAGCTGGGCACACGGATCCGAGAAGACAAAAACTGCCGAGTTGCTGGGCCCCGGGCAGTCGTTCTTGGCGTCTCGGGGTTTGTACTCTGAGATGGCATCGGTGCATTGCTCTGTGCGACTTCGCCACCCGGCACATCCTTCGCCTCCCGGCATGCCTTCTCTTTCGCTTCCTGACGTGCCTTCTCGGCTGCTTCCTTGCATGCCTTCTCTTCCTCTTCCTGACGTGCCTTCTCCTCCGCTTCCTTGCGTGCCTTCGCTTCCGCTTCCTTGCGTGCCTTCTCCTCCGCTTCTTGACGTGCCTTTTCTTCCGCTTCCTTGCGTGCCTTCTCTTCCGCTTCCTTGCGTGCCTTCTCCTCTGCTTCCTTGCGTGCCTTTTCTTCCGCTTCCTTGCGTGCCTTCTCCTCCGCTTCCCGACGTGCACGCTCCTCAGCCTCTTCTTGAGCCTTCCTCGTTTCCTCAAGCTTTGCAATCTGGACTGCAACAGTTTGCAAACGCTTCTCCTCAGAGCGTAGATTCTCTGCGGTTTTTGATGCTTTCTGCATCAGTAGCTGCACTTGGTCTTCCTCGCACGCACAGCAGAACAACAAAACCTTGCCACATGCCACTCCTCAATTTCAAGGCCTCCTGGCACAGGGCCTTCTCTGCAGCTGCCTGGCAAGAAAGGCCGCCATGGCAGAATCAAGGATCCCAAAGACGGCCCCTACGGGATCCTTTTCGAGAAGACCCGAATAACCAAAATAAATCCGCGCGCCTTGCGAACCAACAGTTCTTCTACGCAGCGGCGAGCATCGAGGAGCCGCGCGAGGGCAGACGAGAGGCCCGCGTCCTGACATGCAACCACCGCTGATTTTGGGGAAGCAACCAGCACTACAAGAGGAGGCATCAACCAAACAGGACCCACAAGTACATTGAGTCCAACCATGCATTGAGAAGCAAGATCTGTTGCGATTTTCGAGTTGCCCGCGTGCTCTCGCTCTCGCTCCCTTGCTTTTGAAGAGCAGGTCTTTGCCACATGCAATGAGTAAACACATTCGCCTCGAACCCATACAAACCTCCGAGGCTCCTTGCAGTCCGGCTCCTTCGAGATGCCTTCTGTGATGAAGCTCGCCACCTGACGCCGGTTGGACCCCACAAAACGCGCTCACGTGACACCTTGCCAAGGCTGTGCGGCAATGCGCTGCGGCACAGCTCTGCTCTGCGAAGGCCTCCCCTGCGTCCGTCTCAATGCGCAGCGCGAGACCGGCCACTTGCTTGCTCAGACCCTGCAGCTCCTCCGCGAGAATGGAAGGGCTTGGGCGGCTTGGGGTCGTCCGGCTCGAAGCGACAGTCAAGCACATCATTCGCAAGGCTTGATCTTGGGTTGAAGCAACTGCAGTGCTGCAAACGAAGCAGCTCTAACTTCGTCTGGGGCTGTGCGACTTCACGAAAGTCTCAGAAACCTGCAACATCGAACCTGGAAATTTGCTGCCCTAACCAAGACACCTCCTTGGCTGCTCGCAGATCTTTCGAGGCTGCTGCCTGGCCCAGTTCAGCCTGGAGGCAGGAAGGGCTCTTTCACTTTGGCTATGGCAGCTGCTATCTATCCAAATACTCTCTTCTGCTGCAAGTGTGGGCATTAGATGAAAGGTAGAGAGAGGAGAGACCAGCAACCACAAAGAAAACCCTGGTCCTAACGGAGCAAAGACCATACAAACTCAGTAATCACAGGAGCATTGCAGAGTAAGACAAGCGCTGATGTCGGACACTTTCTAGGGCAAACCTGGGCTACTTGAGTCGAGGGCCGTGCTCCTCAAATCCAACGACAACTGCTGAAGATTGCAGGGCGTAATAAAGAAAAACAAGTTGGAATGGCCCGGATCCATGGATGTTGACTCATTCACTTCACTGCTGTTTGAAACAAGTTTCGCTTTCGTACCCGGAGCGTTCCGTCACCGCTTCTGGAACGTCCGAAAAACCAGAACTGTGACTGGACCATTCGAAACGTCCCCGCGATCCACCCGCAATTGCACAACTTTTCCGGATCGAACTCCAAGACTTGTCTAGCCACGCAGAACGATGCAACAGAGTATCCATTTTCCCGCCTCCAGGGCTGCGGCACGCCCTCTCACAACATCAACAAGCGAGGTGGCCTGGCATGCTGCTTACGAGCCTGGAGTCTATAGGGGATCTCATGCGACCAGACATTCCCAATCGAGGTGCCCAATCTTCAAAATTTAGGCAGCCCTAGGCCCCTAGGCCACATTGACCAGATGCTTCGGCCACTCGGAGTGCAAAGGACTTCCTGGGTGAAAGCTAGGCAGAAATCAGAAGGGATGAGTTCAAGATGAAGATGCGATGCAACTTCGGTCATTGTCTTCCCTTGGCCACCGGGTCCTGTGCAGGGTTCCCCAAACCCTCGGCGTTCTGTTCTGCCTTCCTGCAGCCCCGGCATCGTACAAGCCGTAAAGGTTCCAGCCAGAGTTTCGTCGAGAGCCCATTTAAGACTCGTCTTTAGGAGATATCCTCTTCGGAATTTGTGCTGTTCAGTGGAATTCAGACGAAGTGCTGCAAGGTTTTATCGTTAGAGCAAGGCTTCTGAAGAATTCTGAACCCTCCGCAGCGCCTCCTCTTCTGTGTGGAACGCCCCTCGGCAGACCCTGTCACTGGCACATCAGCTGACGCCCATCCGTGATTGCATGCAGAAACACTCATTTCTGCGGCCATGCGCTTCGACCTCTTGCAGCTACCGCAAGAGGTCACTTCGATGCAAGGAGCCGCAGAGCGGTGAAAGCCCCGCCTCTTCGGCTGCGGCTCGAGCTCGGGCTCAGTGGCGGTAGCGACTGCTGCGGCCTCGCTTCCGAGCTGAGAACGAGAACGCTTCCGATTCCGTGCAAACCCGGGCGCTCCTGAGATGAAACTTGCAGAACCCAAAAGCTGAGGCGATCACAGGCTCTTGCTCCAAGGCCATGCTGAGGGTTGCAGGCTCACGGCTTTTCGGGTGGGGGGCCTTGAGCCGGTGGGAGACAGCTTCGCGCCGGTGCGGTTCTGCACGAAGCAACGAGCCAGATGGAAGGCGAGCACCACAACCCGCTGAGAAGCCTGAACTCTGAACCTTGCTGCATCAGAATTTGTAGGCATTCGCGCCTCATCCTTCTTCAGCTCGAAGCCATTCATGCGGAAGACCTTTCATAGCATTTGGCCTGCTAGCAGAGGCCTTCGCACTTTGACGGCCCCATGAAAAAGGAAGACCTGAAAGTCCGAACCCGAGCGCCCTACATAGCAGCCCTGGTGCACCGGGCCTCCGCATGGGCCTCGGCCAGCTGCTCCTGCGCTTTGCCCGAATTTATCTGAACTCCCAAGCTCTCCGCACCGAACATGCTGCAACCTGCCTGGGCCGGCGTCAACTGCAGAGGGTGAGGCGTCACCAGGGGCTGCCGATCGAGGCGAGTTTCCCGGTTCAGTGCCTTGTTCGAGAATCTCAGAACATGAAGAAGGGTGCACGCGGTGCGCATGGCAGGGGGATGTGCCTCTGGCCTTGGCCTTGCGACATTTTTCTTGGGAACCCTGGGCCTCGAAACGGAACTTCTCGTCAGAGGCATGCTGATCCACGATGAACAGCTGGAGGTCACCTTCCGGAGAACCGGGCAGCCAGCATTCTCTGAATTGGCCATCTAGGCTGAAGGCTGGACCTTTAAAGGAGAGGGCCAGCTTCGATCCTACAAAAGGACGCGTGTCTGGCTTCACTCTGTCAATTACAGCGCGGGTCGGATGTTGGAGCACTTCCCAACGTGCGAAATTTCCTGGAGCTGGCCGGAAGCTTGAAAGGCTCAAAGATGCTCAAAGCCTGCCCACTCGGAGTTGCTTACGCGGCGTGTTTGGTGCTCTGCCAGGAGTCAGCACTCGCCAGAAAAGACAACGAGGGCTCCTGCATTCGGAAAACCTGCAACCTGACCCCATGCCGCGAAAACCCTGAACTGGCTGCTTGCCCGCTTGCCCCGAAAACACCTAGACTTGTCCATCCAACCTGGCAGGTGACCCTGACCATCGCCCTGGCGACATGAAGCGGCGTTGAGATGCCAGGCAGGTAAAGCGCGGGCCAAATTGGAAACTGCAAGTCGGCACTGAATTACCCAACTCCAAGTCGCAACCTGCTTCTGAGGCAGCGCAGCGATGATGAAGCCAAGGTTGAACCTCGCTAAGATGCGCTGATTTCAGACACAAATCATGCACCATCGACTGCCATCAACCATTACAGCCGCCACCACACCACCGGCAACACCACCACTACCACCGCCGCTACCACCATCTTGCCATGAGGCAACTGGTGACAGACGAAAGGAAGACTAGGACTTAGGAAAGCCCACAGAAAGCCGATCCATGATTGAAAAATGCAGAGCTGCTCCGTCAGAGAATGCTGTCTCCCTGCAACGAGACTGATCTATCCTGGTAGCCCGAATCTCACGGTCCCCACACAAAACGTTGCACTGGGCCCACGCTGGCCAACCACGCGCATCTTGGAAAAGCAGGTCTTGTCAAACCTCATGACAAAAAACTGTGGCATGTCTGAGACTGAAGTGCAGATGCCGACGGCATGCCGTTGTTGTTGCCGTAGTGGAAGTCCGATGAGTGCATGGCATATGCAAACGATAAGATTTGAAGCAACACCTAATTAGTGTACACCCGCGAACTTGTCGTGGCGTCGAACGGTAGGAGTATTAGCACGTCTGGCGCAAACAGGCACGGATCGAGTTGGTTTATAGACATGTGAGAGCGCACGCGTGATGGGCTTGAAATCACGCTTGCACACTGAAACCTGGATGTGCAGGCGTTATTGGCTTCGTCGTCGAACTCCACTACGAGCAGACACAGAGACATACAAAGCTTTTCTAGGCTCTTCAGGCTGTCATGACAGATTGCAAACCGAAGCCTGACATCCCACGAACACACTCTCCCGCAGTGCTCGAAGCCCCAAAGCTCGAAAGGAGGCTTTTAGAAACTCGTTTGACGGGAGGACGCCTGAGATTGGAAACACCACAGCTGGCAACTTCCTCCACGGACACGCCTGAAGGAGAGGTGCATCCATGCATCCGTCATGGCGCAAGAAACATTAAGGGCTTCTTCTCGGGCTAGATTAGCTGCTTTTGATGCCTGAATCACTGCTCCTCTCTATTGCAAAATCTCGACTCCCAGGCCAAAGAAGGCAGATTCGTCGGGGAGTTGCAGGGTTCGTGGCTTAGGCTTTCAAGCTCACGCTGAAACCCCGTGCACAGATCTGCAGACCATCCAACAACAAGCTAGCGACCAGCGCACCTTCCGCGCTCCCGTGGCCCAGCTGGGCAAGGGAGAAGGCCCTGCGTGCACACCGGTCTACCAACAGTCTTGGTTGATACCACCTTCACTACTACTAGCGGTAGTAACAATTACAAAGACGACGGCACCAATACTTCCTTGGCTCTTGCGTCTAGTAGTTTATGCGTGTCATCTTCCACGGCGTTGTCGCTCAGAGACAACGTACAACAGCGCGTCTCCCTTAGGGCTGCATGGTAGAGCAGCTCTTGACAGGATCTTCATGATGCGAGACAAATAGTCATATGAGAGCCGGCAGCTTCAACTGCGAGCCATCAAACAGGCATCCACAAAAGTTTCGGCTATACGTTCTATGGCCTGAACCCCTAAGACTGTTTCACCCTCAACTCGACATGCCAGCTTAAGATGCTTGCCCCTGTTCCGACAAGCCTCGGAAACTGCTTGCTCGAGGTAGCGGCTGTCCTTAGAGTCTTAGAGCGCGTCTTAGGCTGTCACAGCTGATACGCCTAAACTGCACCCTCTCAGCTCCCATCGCTGCGGAGGCCAGGTCGGAGGGCATCTGCAGCCGTAAAGGGGTTGGGCGATGAGTCAGGAACCGTCAGTGATGCAGCCACTGCATCCGTGCCTTTGTTTCCCGAGCTTTTTGAGATCGCGGTTGAGTAACGAATTGAGACATTCAGGCCAGCTCTGCCGCTAAGCCCAAACCGGGTTTCAGATGATGTTTCCTACAAGATCAACCATTGGCGAGATCAACCCAAGATCTAGTTTTCACAAGTTTTGGTTTTCGTCTCGACACATTTTTATTTTGAGTTGCCATCCCGCATGGACGGCAGAAGAGCTGGTAAGACAGATGGGACTGCGCTGTAGCCACTCGGCCCCAGCAGGCTCTCATGTTCTGTTGGGGCAGTTTTGGGGGGTCATTTCTGCATCTTTGCCAGCTGTGCAGAAGTAGAGCACCAGTGTCGGTGTCTCTCGAAGACCACTGGCTGAGCGCCTCTCTCAACCAAGCTGTTTCAGCAACGCCTGCTGGGCCTGTTCGTCGTCAAGCTCTTTGGAGACCTTGTCGATCTCTTCCTGAAACCTTTTTGCCACTTCGTCTTCCTGGTGTGCCAGCGCAAGGTGCCGCTCCTGCGATGAAGCGATGAGATGAACAAATCAGACTTCAGAGACCGCGGTTCTCAGAACGACACTGGATGTTGGGGCCGGTCCTGAATGAGGAAAGCCTTTTTGAGCTCGAGCTCCTGCAAATCCATGGAAGCTGCCTGCAAGGCGTACTTTGTCGCCTTGGACATCAGGGCTCCAGGCCCCGCCTTTTGCACTGCACCCGTTACGTGGCCCGCCAGGAAGCGGCTGATCAGGGCTGCAGGAGAGAAGCCCATGATCGTGGCATCTTGACTGCCACAGGCCAAGATAGTCAACAAATCCGAGAGCCCAAAGAGGCCGTTCTTCACCGTTAACAAATGCACCTGAATCCCGGAGGTGTCGCCCCAGTGGAGCCAGAGCCGGAAGAAGAAGAAGGGGAGCTCTAGGGTGAAGAGCGATCGCCAAGCATCCAGGAAGGTGGCCATGTGCAAGCGCTGGGTGTTCAGGTCCTTCTGGCAAAGGAAGCCAGTGTCGCCCCAGCCACTGCACCTCGAAGCACACTCAGGACATGAAGTACGGCCTCATCGTCAAATCTGAAGCCACCCTGAGAGCTGGACGTCCAGTCCATTCGCGGTTGGTCGTGGGTGGGCTGCAGCTTCTCCAGCGGCACCCCAACCTGCAGGTCAGTGCAGATCACGAGAATCTTTCACAGGCTCAGAGGTGTGTTTGGAAAGCCCATCCTCCGTCTCACCATCGTCGTCGTACTGCACAGTGTACGTCGCCTGTCCATGCGATCAGCAATTACCTTCTTGGAATCATATCCGCGTCAAGGATCCTGTTGAAGGATATCCAAATTGGAAGGGGCCTCCGTGATGGTTTTGTGAGTTTACGGGATGACCCCCAAGGTGAAAGGACAGTTTTGCGCTGAAGTACAGTGGTCTCCCTCGTACCATTGCCTCCACATATACAGGACAGGCTCCTAAGCTGAGGTCACGGGCCCCGGGGTCGCCTGATTCTTCTCGCGCCATGCTTTGCCCATGCGACCTGTTTGGACAAAGACCGAAGCTTCAGGGTCATCGACCACCAGGACACGAACAAAGTGAGGTTTCTTGTCCATCTCCGCCACCGCCTCCTGCCAGGAAATGGAACTCCCTGCCTTTCAGAGTCATCGGTCATGGCAGGGCTTAGTCCTGGCTCTTCTTGAAGGCCTGCTCGAGAAGCTTCTCGGCCCCGGATCTGTCAAGGACATTCACACGGTTGATGAGCCTCAGGCACTGCGGAAGAGCGAAGCTGGGGGTTCGACTTGGGACCACGGACCATTTATCATTAACAAATCGGCTACAAGAACCATCAGCTGTATGCGCATGCCTGCTTATCAGCTGCGAAGCTGGGAAAGTTGGGAAGCCTTTCTCGGATGGAAATCCCGCAGCCAACGTCAATCAACAACGTTTTGGAGCATTCGCGTATTCCAAGGAGGTGGATTGAGGAACAAATGCTTTGTAAATCCCGGCGTGTTGGCCTAAGCCCAAGCTCAACCTCTGCATTCACCCCAGCTTGACAGGATTTGACAGGCTAACCCTAGACGGACGACCGTCGAATGTTAGCTCAGGGGCAAGGGCAGAGAGGTAGAGGCTCGGTAGAGGAGCTGAAGGGGTGCCGAGATTCTGCCAAGCGACTCATCAAGCAACGACTCCTTGGTGGCTTCTGCCAGTTGCTCACTCTTTGAGGTCTTTCGCGAGTCCGGACGGAACCATGTGAAGATCATGGGCGAGAGCACGGCACAGGTCGAGGCCAGCAACCTCAGCCACTCAAGCCTAAAGCCGCTTCCAAAGGTTTGAGAGTTCGCTCTTCATCTCAAGCTGTGTATGCCTATGTGCTTCCTGGACGAAAGCAGGTCACGGAGAAACCCGCATGGCCCCTGGTTCCTTGTGCAGCCGAAGCACCAAGTATACCAGATCCACCTCTCAAATTGAGGCCGCACGCCCAGTGGGGAAGGCTGTCCGCCAACCGTCAGGCCAAAACTTGGCATTTGTATCTGCTCATCGTTGATGTTCGCGACAAACATGAAGCAGTCGAGGATGTCCAACCACACTCCATTCCTGTGAGCTGTGAAACTCAAAAACACCGAGACTTCTGCTGTTCATGCCCGTCATGAGATGCTTCCGACTCGCTTCTGGGATCTTCTGGGCTTAGATTAGCCTTCAGGAGAGGCGGCTTTAGATCTGCAGAGGCTCATGAAGTCTTTCGACATAGGAGTGGGCGGCAGGAAAGGCGACTCTTGGAGAGACCAGGTCATGACGAGGATGGCGATCCACTTCGACATCTCAAAAACGTCTTCAATCTGCAACGACAACGCCTGGATACTGGAGGTCCACAGGTCATCCGCCCGGGGACGAACCAGTTGTACTTCCATCTCAATGCAGCACTTCACGCTGGACGAATTATATGGCGTAGGCCCATTGACGAACACATAGCCGGAACATGTCTTGGGGTCGTACGGCTTGGTACATTTCTCCCACATGCCGTTTCTGAAATGAACTGTGCTGCAGTTGTAGAAAGACTCGCTGTAGTTGGCAGTACCTCAGCCAGATGGGTGCAAAATGGTGCGAAGAACGACCGTTCCTTCCTGATGCCACGGATTCACCCAATGAGGCAAAAAACTGGAAGAGGCCTAGTATTGCCAAGACGAGATTCAGCGCCTAAAGCGGTCAATCGGGGTCGGGCAGGGCATTTTGCAAGTCCACTGGCAGTGTATCGCACCGGTGCCACAACCCGCTTTCGTCAAGTTCTTCCTTGCATAATCCTGGCAAGTGTTGCCATGCGCATCGATCCAGTCCCTTGGTTACAGGCAAAACCCTGAAGACTGCGCAGACCAAAGCAGAGATAAGAAGCTTATCAAATCTTAATACCTCCCCTATGCTCCGCTCAGGCAGGCGGCGGTTCGTCCACACACGCTACACGATCGGCCAGTGGTAGGAGATCATGCGGAAGAAGCATCAGTTTGGTGCTTGGCTTCCAAGTAGCCTTCCGGATTGTGATGTTGTCCATCAGCCAGAAGTACAGCGCAATGTAGGCAACCCATTGCAAACAGTTGAAGCCCATGAATATGGCGCTGAAGCGGCTATCCTTTCCACCGAAGAGACCCCACTTCCAACTGTACATAGTCGCAGCACGCCCAAGCAAACAGGCGATGAAGACGACTGGGAAAAGATAGGCCGGAAGGAACAAACCATCAGGATCCTGGCCTCTAGCGAGAACAACTCCCCTCACAATGTCCCTGTTCTTGCTCTGCCAATACCACACAGCCGTTACCAGGGCAAGCTCGAAAGCAATGCCGATGGCAAGTGGAATCCAGAAGTAACGGAACTTCGTGCGGATGAAGTGGTCTTCCTGCTGAGGAGTGAAAGTTGAATGCTGGGGGCTGAGGAGAAGGTACATGCTTTGCTTCGTCCTAGAAGGCTCTGTTCGAACTCTGATGAATTTTGCCTTTCGACGCCAACTCGTGCCGCACTCGCACCGCCGCGTGAGTTCGATTCTTACGAAAGGCGCTGCGCAGGGCGGGTCGGGGCGGGCGGGGTGTCGTCGACCTGTGCGAGGCGCACGGACTGCCTATCCCCATGTGCCCTAAACGCGGGCTTTGCGAAGCTGCAGCTCCTACAGCAAACTTGCCTTCAAACGAAAAAAATCTAAGCCTAAAAGAAGAAGGGGTCACATTGCACGGAAGCTCATTCGTGGGGCAAACTAACAGATCTTACCTTGCATTATGGGGTCTCGGGTCAGCATTTCCTCCCCTCGTCTCCCGCTTCTCCACAATCTTCACGTCTAGACCACACGTCGGCTCAATGTCACTCTCCGATTCCGAGCTGGAGGTTGCCATCATGGCCCGGGAATTGGTGGGTGCCATGGCCGACGATCAGTTGGTGGGAGTCTTCAGGGCTCCTGTCCTAACTTCCCCCTGGCATGAGCCAAGCATCGTCCAGCTGAGCTCAAGCAGTCGCATGGCCCCAGACACTATGCATGTCTGCATGCATAGCAGGGTTGGCACATGCTGTACAGCATCAGTATAAATCAGTAGGTGACAAATGCAGCACCTTTGACTCGAGACACGGCCGAGACTCACAGACAAGCGGGCTTTGCCTCGCAGCCTGACCATGCCCTGAAACCCAAAAAGCGTTCCGAAAAGACCCGGACCCGGAGCTACGAAAAGCTGCCAAAGGCACCTCGGCACGGAGCGCGCGGCGTCGCATGCGTCGCGCCGCGGTGGACCGGCGGAGGCCTGGCGCACTTTTTGCATGGAGGGCTCCCGTCTCCGGCGTCTGAGACAGGTGATGGGATGGGCGTGACGAGGGGTCAGCCAAGTCATGTAACGAGGGAAGATGTGAGCCTTCCAGCTGGATCGGCGACATAAAGCTGCAGCCGATTGCCTTCGATGCCTGACGATGGTGGTAGCGACGGAGACCGGCACACGGAGCGGGCAATTTTTTGAAGTTGGGGCGTCCCCGGTCGTCGGTCCGGAGGGGAATAGGCAGGCGAACGGACTCTGCTGCTGAAGCTACTGCCGAAGAAGAAGAGGAAGAGCTCATGCATGCCTTGTTTTGCAGCTTTGCCTAGAAGATTTCAATTGAGAAGATATATAGAAAAGCAAATAGAGACTAAGATACATAAGTGGGTACGTAGACAGACAGACGCGGATAATCTTTCGTGCACGAAGTAACCAGTAACCAGCCTTGGTGCTTGCATGGTTTTTGCACGTCGGATACCCTTTCCGGTGTCTTCAGAACAGCCAGCTGAACATTTAGCGCGACAGAATAGAGCGGCAAGTTAACAAGTTCAGGGCACCAGGGCGCTTAGGACGTTTAAAGGCAAATCCGCACAGGGGTCAGCCCCGGCCGTTAGGCCATGACCAGAACTTGTAGTCAACATAAGGACTTCATGGGGCCGAGGGGCTTTGTAGCGGCTGGGATCGGCGACCGGATCCTGTCAAGGAAGCACATGGCATTGCTCTGATGATCGTGGCCCTCTCTCGGAGTTTTGATTCTATGATCCATGCACATCGACCGTCCTCTTGCTTGACGAGGGCACCTCAGTGTTGGAAGTGAGAAGACTTGAAGCCGGACCGACGTGAACTCCAAGCGGGAACGTTGTCCTGAGAGCCTAAGTTTGCCCCAGAAGCACCAAGTCTGAAACTCACAGCAAAGCCGGCACATGCTGGGCAAAAAGCTGCGCTCCTTAAGCCCTGGAGATCCGCAGACAAATCCCCAAGCAACGCAAATCGGAGAAAGTCCTTGGCTCTTGAGGCCCTCGAGCCCTGAGCCGTGGGCCGTCGACAGACGCCTCGGACTTCTGCGAGGTGTCGAGAACATACTCCTGCGATTGAGCCGAAAGCATTGAGCTCTCTTCGTTGGACAGCAGGCAGTAGTAAGAACTGGGCCCCTCATAAGGTCAGTCTCAAGGCCGCCCCAGACTCTGCATTTCTGGTTTCAAGCACTGCGCCTGCACGTCAAGGTCAGGGTCGTCCACTCCTGGCCGAAGCTTTGCGCCCCATAGGCATAGGGGGACACATTTCAGCACGCGAGATGTACGACCCCTCGGGTGTATTTGACCTTACGTCTCTTGCCGGTATATCCAACTAGCTGCAGCAGGAGAGGCCAAGCAGAACTTTCTGCTTCAACCATTTCTATCTTGCTGGGAACACAATTTGCACCCGGTGCTTTCAAAACCAGAACATGCCCCTCCAAATATGCGACCCAGCACGGGCCTCGAGCAGAGTTTCCATGTTCAAGTATGGTGCACGTAAATGCCTTCGAGCACCCTTTTTCTTGTTTCATCTGGGCTTTCTCTCCCGAAAGCCAGGACCACTCAAAAAGACTTGCAACGCTTGACATAGAGACGTTGCAGGACCAATGCAAGCAACTCCGACCTCAAGCGCAAACTCTTCAAGCCGCCTTCCATGGGCACGGGCATCAGGGCAGGCTCCACAGACGGCGCCTGAGCCGGGCTCTCATTGTGAAATCTCTGTGCCGAGCCGTCGCATCTGCAGCCAAGGGACCTGCTCCTCTTCGGACATTCCCGCTTCGTCCTGCGAGCTCACCCGGCTCGCTGCTTCACAGTTGCACCCAACATCTCTAAACTCAACAAGTTCTGGAAGGCAGACAGTCGTGGGAGCTACGACTGAAGCACTGCTGTGACGGCAAGTCCAACCCTTCTGGTGAGGTTGCCCCTCTCAACCTTCATCCAGGATCCCGAAACATCCCGAAAAAAAGCCTGTCGCTGCGCTCCAGGGAGCAGCTCGTGTTGGAAGTTCCTGAAGCTCGATGACCTCCACCCCTGGCAACTCCTCGCTGGTCTCGCTGTGCCTGTGGCCGGCCATGAAAACTTCTGAGAGGCTGCAAGGCTTATCCCATCAGAAAGACCATGGCTTAAGTTTCGCGTTTGCTCGGTACCGCAGGCTGCCCAAAGCCAATTAATTGATTGAGCGCACATTTCTAGTCTTAGTCGGGAAGGAGTTCGGCTTCAAGGCCCTAGCTGCCTAACTGAGCGACTGCAAGACAGTCCGTTTAAACTCCAAGCTGCAATCTTTTCTGCTCACCCTCACAGCGGTCGTTACAGTCGAGCACTCGCTACGTGCGCCACAAGGGTGAAGAACCGCAAAGGCCGACACTTGCTGCCACGCTGATGCGGGTTAAAAAAGCCTCTCAGCGGTACAGGCCGTTGTTGATGCGATCGATGAAGTAGGCAGGGCTGGCAGGCAAGCAGACCAAGTTGCCCTCGTACTTCTTGGCGATGTTCTTGAGCTGATCGGTCATGCCAGGGATGTTGTAGATGTCGGAAACCTGGCTGTAAGGGCCATGGGTGCCGATGAGACCCGCGACGGTAGGGAACATGCCCGGGAACTGGCGGTAGGCCTGGATGTTGGCGTTGTTGATGTCGACCTTGTCCGTTCCGCCAAGGTATTTGATACCGTCGTAATCCACCATCGCCTGCGCGGCACCCGGTGCGAGGGCCACTGTGGCTGCCGCGGCGGTGGCGGCGACTTGCTGCCTCTTGGAGTTCAACCAGCCCATCAGAGCACCCACGCCGAAGCCAGTGGCCAGCACTCCGAACACTCCGGAGGTCTCAGTCTCCTCCATCTCCAGCTGCTCCAGCTGCATCTGCGGCGCCTGCTGCGCAGGCCGGCCGGTCGATGAGACACCGGCACCTGGAGCCACGTAGGCGGCCGCCGGGGCGAAGAGAAGTGCAGCAAGGAGGAATCGAGCCATGGCTGATGGGGTCTGCCGGAAAAGAGCCTACACGACTGGCCGCTGTGAACCCAGAAAGCAGGTCTAGCAGGCGAGAAAACCCACGTTTTGGATCAGGAGGCCTCGCACTTACATCTCACATGCAAGACACCAGAAATGTGGAAGATCCTGAAATCTCTCTAACACTACTAGTCATTGCTCGACAGCTGAAAGATTCTCTCATGACATGGACACGTCGCGGCATCCAGGCTCCTTTGTGCTTATCCTCACAGCGGTCATTACAGTCGAGCACTCGCTACGTGCGCCACAAGGGTGAAGAACCGCAAAGGCCGACACTTGCTGCCACGCTGATGCGGGTTAAAAAAGCCTCTCAGCGGTACAGGCCATTGTTGATGCGATCGATGAAGTAGGCAGGGCTGGCAGGCAAGCAGACCAAGTTGCCCTCGTACTTCTTGGCGATGTTCTTGAGCTGATCGGTCATGCCAGGGATGTTGTAGATGTCGGAAACCTGGCTGTAAGGGCCATGGGTGCCGATGAGACCCGCGACGGTAGGGAACATGCCCGGGAACTGGCGGTAGGCCTGGATGTTGGCGTTGTTGATGTCGACCTTGTCCGTTCCGCCAAGGTATTTGATACCGTCGTAATCCACCATCGCCTGCGCGGCACCCGGTGCGAGGGCCACTGTGGCTGCCGCGGCGGTGGCGGCGACTTGCTGCCTCTTGGAGTTCAACCAGCCCATCAGAGCACCCACGCCGAAGCCAGTGGCCAGCACTCCGAACACTCCGGAGGTCTCAGTCTCCTCCATCTCCAGCTGCTCCAGCTGCATCTGCGGCGCCTGCTGCGCAGGCCGGCCGGTCGATGAGACACCGGCACCTGGAGCCACGTAGGCGGCCGCCGGGGCGAAGAGAAGCGCAGCAAGGAGGAATCGAGCCATGGCTGATGGGGTCTGCCGGAAAAGAGCCTACACGACTGGCCGCTGTGAACCCAGAAAGCAGGTCTAGCAGGCGAGAAAACCCACGTTTTGGATCAGGAGGCCTCGCACTTACATCTCACATGCAAGACACCAGAAATGTGGAAGATCCTGAAATCTCTCTAACACTACTAGTCATTGCTCGACAGCTGAAAGATTCTCTCATGACATGGACACGTCGCGGCATCCAGGCTCCTTTGTGCTTACCCTCACAGCGGTCATTACAGTCGAGCACTCGCTACGTGCGCCACAAGGGTGAAGAACCGCAAAGGCCGACACTTGCTGCCACGCTGATGCGGGTTAAAAAAGCCTCTCAGCGGTACAGGCCATTGTTGATGCGATCGATGAAGTAGGCAGGGCTGGCAGGCAAGCAGACCAAGTTGCCCTCGTACTTCTTGGCGATGTTCTTGAGCTGATCGGTCATGCCAGGGATGTTGTAGATGTCGGAAACCTGGCTGTAAGGGCCATGGGTGCCGATGAGACCCGCGACGGTAGGGAACATGCCCGGGAACTGGCGGTAGGCCTGGATGTTGGCGTTGTTGATGTCGACCTTGTCCGTTCCGCCAAGGTATTTGATACCGTCGTAATCCACCATCGCCTGCGCGGCACCCGGTGCGAGGGCCACTGTGGCTGCCGCGGCGGTGGCGGCGACTTGCTGCCTCTTGGAGTTCAACCAGCCCATCAGAGCACCCACGCCGAAGCCAGTGGCCAGCACTCCGAACACTCCGGAGGTCTCAGTCTCCTCCATCTCCAGCTGCTCCAGCTGCATCTGCGGCGCCTGCTGCGCAGGCCGGCCGGTCGATGAGACACCGGCACCTGGAGCCACGTAGGCGGCCGCCGGGGCGAAGAGAAGTGCAGCAAGGAGGAATCGAGCCATGGCTGATGGGGTCTGCCGGAAAAGAGCCTACACGACTGGCCGCTGAGTGACGAAGATCTTGCAGATGGCTTCGTTTTGAACATGCCGAACAAGCACCCTGCCTAATATGACCAGCACATGACGGACAGCACTCGTGGCCCTCACTCGTGGTCATTAGAGACAGCTTGAAGCAGCCTTTGCAGCTGTTGGGGGCCTGTTCACTTGCATCAAACGTGCCTGCAGCACAGTTACAGCTTTTCACAACTTCAGCCTTCCGGAGGCTGACTACGCACCAGTGGTCAAGCCGTTCGATGTTGTCTCTGCAAATGCCAGAATCACAGCTGCGAGCCTTCGTTTGAGCGACTTCCAGACGGAGCGCCGGGAAGGCAGATCCAGGTCTGGCGAGGATTTTAAGGAAAAGCGAGTCAAGCGAGCTTCTGCTTCATCTCTCCCGGAGATCTGTGTTGAGACGAACTGAGAAATTCAAGCCACTGAGGATTGCGGGCTTGAGCACGAGACAGCCAGCAGACAGCTCTGCAGCTAGTCTTAGGAAGCTTCCAACCAGAGAAGCTTCAAAGAGCCCCCGCAGCTTCGTGAGCCCTTTGATTCTGCTACGTCCTTCCACAGAGAAGTGCAAGCACCGGGCAAGTCGCCAGCCCCTGTCGATACATCTGGTCGCCGCGCGGCCTCCTCTGCCTGCGATGAGAGGCCAGGCTTTCCGCTCCAGAATATGCAGACACCCCCACACACACAAACACACCTCCATACACACGAGAGAGATCCTTTGAAATAGGCCCAACCATGCAGTAGGACCTGTGCATGGGAAGGAGCTTCCTCCTGAAATTCGATGATGCACCTGGCACACAACAATTGTGGGGGTGATGCACCAGATGGTTGAAACCTTTATCCCCGTGCCGGGAGCTCTGCCACGTCTCTGGTGCGCGAAAAAAGGCAGAGGCATTGAACAAGCTAGCACTTGCAGCGAGCCGATCAGCTTGGGCTTCTTGAAGAGGGGCTACTTTCTGTAGAGTGATTAGAGGCCAACGACCTGCGATGCTGCAAAGGCACGAGCCCTCTGCGTCCACTTCCGCTGTCAAGGTTTGCAGCACTGGGAAGTCTTGCACGGGCCTCCCGCCAGGAAAGCGGGCATTGAAGTTCAGAGTGCTTGGGATCGGGATGCAGACTGTGCAGCTGTGTTATGTTGTGGGAATCCGCAGCAGCTGTGGCTTTGATTGCTGACTCAAGGCCCAGGCCTTTGAGCTGCAAGGTCTCTTTTCAAACTAAACACTGCAGCTGCCCTGCCGCGAGAAATTGCAATCCCACAACCTTCCCCCGTGCTTATGTATTCCGATCTTGAAGGCAAAACCACCTGGGTTCCGCCGGGGTCGCGAGCTCCGTCCCCGGCAGAGCTTCCAAGTCCCGATTCCGACGCGTCTCCTCACAAGACCGGCAGCATCGGACATGCCAGGGAGACCCAGCTGTGCAGAGGGAGAACCTCGCTGGAAAGGCGCACGGAAGGCTCCGGCAGCTTCGGAGGAAGAGTGCCTCAGAGACTTTGCCAAACCCTCCGAAGCGGCACGGTTAAAGTGGCTGCACCGAGGCCCCGGCTCGGCAACTCTGCAGGCACCTCAAGGTCCAGGGGTCCAGGGTCCACCCCAAAAGGAGCAAGGTTGCTTGCGCGCGTCAAAGAGAGGAGACCCAATGAAGATCTACGGTTATACCTTGCACTTTGGATCGGGGTCGGGCAGCCGAGAACTGGGCCGAGATATCCCAACAAGACTTCTACTCCAGGACCTGACCTGGAATTTGCCTGAGAGACACCACTGCAGTCACTGCACTGCGGCCTCCTCCGCCTTCAAGGAGATGGTAGTATCCTTCAGCACGGGCCTCCAAGACGTGCATCAAAGAGGCTGGGAGGCCCTTTCAATAAAGGGACGTGGGCCCACCCTTGCAAAGATCATGCATTAGATAGGATCAACTTTAACTTCCTCAAAACTCACACAGTCGGATGCAGACCTGCACCAGGCAAAGCTCCAACCACTTCATCGGGGCCCTGGCACAATGCCAAAGTTGCAAAGGCCGCGTTGGGAAGTGTCGGGCCCGGCAGACAGCACCTCTGGTGCTCTGCCGTCAAGATGCATGAACGGTGCATGGCCACCCGCAGGCATCGAACTAACATGGTCACTGCGGAGGGGATCTTCTGCTGCACAGCAGCGACACGGGACTTCGACAAGAGACCTGTCGCAACCGCATCGTCACCATCACCAGCTCCATCGCAACCATCCCCACCACCCGCACACAGCAGCACCACACCAGCCTGCGTAAGGGACTTCTGCAGCTCACCAAGCAAGGCTTCCTGGAGGGAAGATTGGGGTTTCTGAGGACTGATACTGCAATGGGCTTCTCAGACAACTCCCACCTCGTGGTGGAGGAAGACGGTCTTCTTGTCGGGCGTGACATTGACGTCCACCATGCCTAACAGGATCGCTCGAGTCGCTGAGGCAATGGACTTCGATTTGTCTGACTGCTCTGCCCAACCAGCGCTTGAAGTCACGAGACCTTGAGGTGCCGTAAAAGCCAGAATAACCAAAGGCCACGCCCTCGAGTTGTACTGGTGGTAGGTGTCCTGGCGGTCCACACGTCAACAGGAAGAAGCAACTTGAATCCGAGGCTCGAGTTTCGGGTACTCGACCGTCGGTGTAGGTTCGCCCCCCTCTCTCTCTCTCTCTCTCTCTCTCTCCTTCGCTCTCTATACCATTGCAGTTTTCAAGCACCCGGCCGGACGCCAGGCACTTGCGATACCGATAAGACAGCCTCAAACCTGCCGGCGTCGCATTGATGAGCTTGGCGATGCGCTTCGGGGGATCCACCGGCCGGCGGTTCACGAAGAAGAGCTGCGCATCCCGGCTTCGCCGGCCACCGAAGGGCGGAGAAATCAGGCCTTTCGCAGCAGGGCCGAAGTGCAAAGGCATCTCACGAATGATCTAGAATCGTCGTGTCCTATGCAGCCTATGCACTTCATACTGTGAAGAAGGAATTGGTTGGCAAGAGATCGCAGCTCTTGCGGCTTGACCACGGCATTCCTTGCGACTCCATAGCGATATGACATCAACTGCGGCAGCTCGACTGATTTCTCCAAATCCGGAAGTAAGACCAAAATCCTTCTCAGATTCCTCTCAGCCCGGCCGCGCCTTCCACCTCCCAGCCCTCCAGAGTGGCCTCAGCACTGGCGGGCACTATCCGGAGAAGCTTGGCAAGTCTTGCTGCACGAGGCACGGCAATCGTGAGCACTCCCGACAGCGCTGCATCGCCCAGCACGGCAGCCGCGGCCTTTCAGCTTGTCTTCAGCCCTCTCCCTTTCATCTTTGCTCTAGCTCTGTGCCGACCTGCTGTGAGGGGCAGTCTTAGCTCTTGCATAGGAAAAACAGAGAAGGCATTGCCAGCGCTCGTCATCAAACACCATCGGACATCAGACTCTCGGGGAGGCAGTTTGGGAGGGTACAGGTGGCTTTTCAAGGGACAGGAGCGATGGCCAAGCCGGACCAGAGAAGAGTGGTTCGTGACCCTTGCCCTCGCTCACACCATAAACACACAAGGCTTCCCAGAGCTCTGCCTGCGTCCAGTTTCGCGCTGTACCTGCACTGGTCATTGGCTCTATGCCCCAAGCCGAATCTTCGTGCCCGCCTGATGTGGACATCAACGTGGTTCGACCGCTGCCAGGCCCACGCAATTTCTCGGAGACCACGCTGAACCGAACCTCCCAACTGAAAAGGAGATTTTCGCACCTGGTTCTGTCAAAGGCTGCCTGTGGCTGAGCGACAGCATAGGCTTGAATGAGGCGGAGTGTGGCCCCGACCTGCCCATGGGTGGCACAAGCACACCAGAGATCCCTCCAGCTGCAGCAAGCGGAGAAGTGAACGAGCTGTTGCAACGAAGCTGTCGGCTGTCGTGCAACACTGCAGCGTGCATGCGTGTTTGTGCGTCTTCCGTGGCCGGTAGATCTTGCTTGGACTACTCGCACCTGCGCCTTGGCATTCTTCTGAAATTCCCGGTGCCGCACAGGCAACCGTTTGAAGAGCTCCCGCACCTTCCGTGTGTTGATTTCATGAAAACTGCTGATCTAATGTAGAATCTGGCACGGAAGGCTAGCGGTCCAGAGTTCAAGACCAACGAAGGGCGATGCTGATCTCCCCAAACTTCCTGAGGCCCTGAAAGCTCTTCCGAGGCCAACGCCGAGACAGTGGTGCCTGTCTCCCGTGCGAGGGCATTCCGTGAAACCAGTCTGCCGAAGCGGTCCTCAAGACTCTCTATGACCGGTGAGTAGAACTTGGAACCAACCAAAGGCCCCAGAACACGATGCAGACATGTTCAAGGTATGTGATAGCCAAGCACGCGTCAACATGCTGTAGCTCGTGAGCTCAACATTGACATTGATTTACTGCCTGTAACGGTATGCGAACATCTAGAGAAACCCCACTTGTCTCCACCAAGTGGCATAAGACAGCAATGAAGCCTCAACTGCAAGCACATGCAAACAGGAGGCCCAATACATTGATCTGAAAGCTGGAAGAGCTGCAAAAGGAGCATGGATGCCTGCGTAACTCTTGTTGTTTTGAAAGCCAAGCGGCTGCTGACTCGTTGGCAGTTTTCGTAGCTATCGTCATGTCGCCCATGGCGCATATGGCAGACAGTGCTTCTCCGCGAAAACCGAATGTCGAGAAGACATCAGAACCTGAGGCTCGCATCCCATCAACCGACAAGAAGCCTGCACCAGCAAACACCTTCTGCAACAGCAGTGTTTCAAGAACCGCGGACCGCGTTTCCGGAGGTTTCCACGACATGCAAGCCGTGCTGCTCAAATCTTGGTACTTCCGAATCTTGGAAGTCGCATGTCTGGCCGCGACCTCTTCGAGGGCTGTTGGACTTTGCAACTTGCATTCCCCACGCAGATTATGGAAAGGACGCGTGAGGCCTTGTCGTAATCGTCCGGACTGATGCCTCTGCCATCGTCGACCACCTACTGCCAACAGAGCGCGTGCAGGGGATGAAAAATTGAAACAGGATTTGGGTGCTGAGACGACTGAATTCTCGGGCTCCAGCAGAAGCACAACAGACAAGAGCTGCAACTCTCAGGTGATCACGTTGCCTAATTCGCTGTATGTTTATGCTTCTCTTTCCTATCCTGTGCTGACTCCTCCTTGCATCTATCCCTGAACGTAGACATCGCGTGATCTGTTGGTGTGTTACACCTAGCCGTGTCCGTGCTTATTCGCTCTGTGACTCTGTGCGGCAAAGACATCGCCATGACCGTTCGGCAGAGCTCAAGGGAGGCTTCTCCCAGGCCTCCAGCAGCTCAGCCCCAGATTCGCGGAGGCGAACCTGGCACCAGAAAGCAGTTTGGAATCTGGCACTTCAGGAGGATTGAACTCGGAGCACGAGCCTTGCCATGGGCAGAGTGTCACAGTCACGCACGCGGAAGTTGAAAGACTTCCAAAAAGAGGCATTTCTGGACAGTACCAGTCCCGAATCTAACAAAGCCACATTATGCTGCCAAACCACGATAAAAGATAAAACCCCCGGCTTTTATTTCTTTGGATCAGGAGAGCTGTACAAGGCCCGACAAGGCACCGTACCAGGCCTCCACCCTCGAGGCACCGGCATCCAATGAGTTTTCGACGAGCTCTTTCACGCAGGCCTCTCGGCATTACATGCACAAGGCAGGGCGATCAGCTGATGTAGAAACACGACACACAGCAAATGGTTCGTTGGGACATCGGCCCCAAGCTGATGGAAGACAGCCGTGCTTGCCACACTGACCGTTACAGCGCATACATCCGTGGCCTGCAATGTAACCACCACCTGATTGGTACAAATCTCGTGCACCACTTCAGTGCCGAGCCTCCGGAAAAACCGTGGGCAATCGGCAATCGTCTACATGTGGAGCAAACACACCCTGCCTGTTCATGATCGCGGACACGTCGCCGACATGTTTTCATGCTAGACCATAGCTCACATCATGCCAACACGTGGCAACAAAAGAATTATGTTTTGAGTCGTGTGCGGCAGTACACCGTCGTACTCGCTTGTTTGGAGCCTGATCACAAACTGTGCAAATGGGCAGGAAGTTGCAGATTGAAAATGCGTCGCACTATGCGGCCATGACTCAAGACATCACGGGTGCTGTTTTGCCACCAGCATTGTGTCGAAATATTCCCTTTTCCACTGTGGATTACAAAACCACACGACAATCTTTAAAAGCGGTTCCTCATGATATACAACTATACAACTATAATGTTCGTTCTTTGATCACGTGTAGGCATGTGCTTCTAGAACCTTGCAAGGTTCGCAATATGACATGAGCAATAATATGTTTTTTTGCCTGGGCGGGCTTCGTCGACAGCGGCTGCTGCACTCAGTCCTTGTCTAAACCACGAAACACGACGAAACGGTGAAACGGGAGCACAGGTACCTAATGGGCGAAAAGAACTGCGGCGAGCAGACTTTGTCGGCTGTAGCTGTAGCCGTTCAATTTCCTGCCTTCCTACGGCCTAACTCAGCAGCTGGTCAGGAGCAGAGAGGCCGTCGCTCCAAACCACCCATGGAAAGGATGGAGTCCAAGACGAAAACTCCGGCCGTTGTTGTTAAGGAAAGAGCGTCATGTTCATGGCTTTTCAAGGTGTGGATGCATGATCTTGGCTCTTCGTCCACGAAGAGTGTACCACTCGAGGCGGAAAAGTCCAAGTGGAAGTCTGGACTTAACAGGCCAATTGCTTGGGTAACAACAAAAGCCACGCTGAAAAGCCTGGCACATGCAGTTCCCAATGTGGGAGACGGCAACTGATGCTGGAACTGAGAGTTTTTTGGCGTGGTCAGTTCTTGTTGACGCCGCACACGGTTCCAGCAACCCAAAACAAAGAAAACAAAGCACTCCTAAAGGTAAAACAAAGGTAACGACGTGCGGGAAGAATCAGCCAAGATGCTGTTTTGTTTGGCTCTGCTGAAAACATAACAAGAGTAAAACCGAGCCCAGCTTCCCACAAGAGAGGTTCTCGCAAGCAAACGCGAAAGCGAGCAAGCACTGCGCATGCAACTCGAGCCCTGTGGAAGGGAGCGGAGGAGAGATGGCTATTTCGAAAGAAGCTTCCCCAGGTCTCTTCCTCAGGCCCTTTCAAGCCTTTCCAATTCTAGGCCTGCTTTGAAGCCTCCTGGGCTTAACTTGGGTTTGAACCTGGGTTTAACCTGGGTTTAATTTGGGTTAAACCTGGGTGCTTCAAACTTGGGTTCCACACTTGGGCAAGAACCTGGGTTCAAACCTGGGTTCAAACCTGGGTGACAACCTGGATTTAAACCTGGGTTTTTAAACCTCGGTTCCAAATCTGGGTTAAATTTTTTTGGTGTGGATGGGCCTCAACGACAGCAGGTTGCTGCACTCGGTCCCAACAAGAACTACAAGAAGCCAAGAACAAAATCTACTGTACAAAGAAAGATAATAACAAGGTGAAACAGGCCGCGACTAGCAGACCTAGCCGGCAGACGTCGTTCGGCAAGACACGCGCAAAGCGAATCTACCACCGCTCAGATGCCCCGCTTCCCAGTCACACTGAGTTGCGCAATGGCACACAAAGACCAGCATCGAATGGAGGCGGGCAACATGAGATAACCATCCTGTTCTCTGTGTACTTGGCCCAGCTTCCCAGAGGGGGCTCGCAAGGGCAAGACAGAGAGGCCATGGCGTAGCATATAGCGCCCAAGCATCCATAGAGAAGCGAGAGCATGCCCCAGCGGCAGGTGCTCTAAAATATTAATTCAAGCCCAGCTTCCCAACAATGTGGGTCTCGCAAGGGCAGACACACAAATTTCCATACAATGGAGCAAGCCAGGCAGCATTGTACATGCCATGCTGTACAATAGGCACCTGCAAGCACCGGGACATACACTTCCAGTCCGTTTGGTGCTCTTGGCTTAGCTTCCCAAGGAGAGCCTCGCAAGCCAAAACGGTGAGGCGCTTGGCTTGAAAAAAGCGCCCAGCACTCATGCCGAGGCCGGAGCATGTCATAGTGGCAAGTGCATAAGCACTTCGATTCAAGCCCAGCTTCCCACCAAGGTGGGCCTTGCAAGGGCAGGCACTAATTTTGGCATTATGCAGCAAACTAAGCAGCACGGTGCATGCCGTGCTGGCCAACCGGCCGCGTGATGGCACCACGCGTACCGAGCCCAGCTTCCCACACGTGGGTCTCGCAAGGGCAGAGCAAAAAACAGGTGAGAGCACACCGAGCCCCCTGTGTAAAGGGCGAGTCGGACCCAAATCTTGGTCCAGGGTCACGTCTCCAGAACCACGGTCCAAACAGTCAAAACTTGGCCTCTCAGGTCAAGTCACACTCATTTTTTTTGGCGTGGGCGGGCCTCACAGACAGCAGCTGCACTCGGTCCCAGTAAGAACACCAAGAATACAATAAAGAGCTGTACAACAGAATCATGTCATGTGAAACGGGCCGCGACTTGCAGACTTAGCCAGCAGGGATCGTTCGGCCTTTCAGAGCGTAGCCTCTCTCAGTTGTTTTTTTTTGGCGTGGGCGGGCCTCACAGACAGCAGTTGCTGCACTCGGTCCCAGTAAGAACTACAAGAACAATAAGAAATCAAAAGAAAGCTGTACAGAAGAATCCTGACGGGTGAAACAGGCCGCGACTTGCAGACTTAGCCAGCAGGGATCGTTCGGCCTTTCAGGGGTAGCTTCTCTCAGATGTCCTTTTCCCGAAAGAGCAGCTTGAGACATGCATCCATCAACCAGCACGCCTCATAGCCGATGCGTGGCGGAAGAGCGGCCCAGCGGCACAGTAGCGTGAGTCTCGCAATGTGGGTCTCGCATGGCGACCCAGTGCGGTCACAATGGGACAGAGAGGCCGCGCAGAGGCAAGCCAGCCCATTCTTAGCGCATCAGTCGTACCAGACCCAGCTTCCCAATGGTGGGCATCGCAAGGGTCAAGAAAGAACTGCACTTCGGCCCAGCCCAGCTTCCCAACAGATGGGTCTCGCAAGGGCGGCGCATTATAACGCAATGAAACCGAGTACTGCAGTATGCTAGGGTCATGGCTCCGCTGGCAAGCCAGGTCCAGCTTCCCAGTGTGGATATCGCAAGGCCAATGGATGACAGTAGCGCTTAAAGAGTGCTCCCCAGGATAAGACGGGGCTTAGATCATTGCAAAATTGCCCACGCTCAACTGTCCGTGATGAAAGCCTCGCACCGTACGTGCACCAGAGGCAAGCCGTATCGGTCAGGTTGTCATCTGTGCGGCATACACATTGAGTGCAGCAGACCGGTAGAGGCGGTCGCAGCCGCACAAGCGGGAGCTCGCACATTGGCTCCATGGAAAAGCACGTGCATCCATCAACCAGCACGCTTCATGGCCGATGCGTGGCGGAAGAGCGGCCCGGCTTCACAGTAGCGAGAGTCCCACAATGTGGGTCTCGCGATGGCGACCCAGTGCGGTCACAATGGGACAGAGAGGCCGCGCAGAAGCAAGCCAGCCCATTCTTAGCGCATCAGTCATACCAGACCCAGCTTCCCAATGGTGGGCATCGCAAGGGTCAAGAAAGAACTGCATTTCGGTCCAGCCCAGCTTCCCAACATGTGGGTCTCGCAAGGGCGGCGCACTATAGCGCAATGAAACCGAATACCGCAGTCTGCAAGGGTCATGGCTCCGCTGTCGAGCCAGGCCCAGCTTCCCAGTATGGATAGCGCAAGGCCAATGGATGACAGTAGCGCTTAAGGAGTGCTTCCCAGGGAATGACAGGGCTCAGATCATTGCAAAATTGCCCCCGCTCAACTTTCCGTGATGAAAGCCTCGCACCTTACGTGCACCAGAGGCAAGTCGTATCGGTCAGGTGGTCATCTGTGCGGCATACAATTTGGGCCCAGCTTCCCAGGAGTGGGTATCGCAACAAAGTTGAGACAGACCAGAGCCTCCTTAACACCGCCCAGCTTCCCACCTAGGCAGGTGTCGCAAGGGCAAGAGTTAAACAGAGCCTGAATCATCCTGAGTATAGGTGCTGCAGACCGGTAACGGCGGTCAGCTGCGCATCGGGAGCTCGCACATTGGCTCCATGGAAAAGTACGGACTCCCCACAGTGCAGGACAAGCCCCGCCGTCACCTGCTACCCGACAGGTACTTTGTACCATTGGATTGCAAGAGCGCAGGGCCGCTAGTGCTACGCCCATCTTGAAGCGTGGGACATCAAAGCCAAGGTTCTCATTTATCACCTCGCAGCGCAGGAGTCGGATGATAAGACAATGCCTGATAGGAGCCGTGCTTGGTGTCGCCAAGACGACCCATGGAGCCAAGAACGCTGGAAAGCAGAAGCTGACGCCTTCTTGGCGCAGAGTGGACTCGATCCTGGCATTTAAATCCCTTTCATGTCCTCGGAACTCATGCCGCATCTCCATAAGCCCGATCTGATATGCACAGATACAGCTACCGTTCGCGTGAGATGTATGCGCGGCGCAATTTCCAAACGTTGTACCTTCTGCACGAGTCCCAATTTGCCGTTGGCGGCAACGACATGCAGCGCCTGCTGGATGCTTGGCCGCCGCAGTCGACACTGGACCGCACCCAGTAACAAGAGGCGTCTGCCCACATGCCAGCACTACGGCTGTAGCACTCGGGCGGTGAAACAGGCGGCTCTAGAAGTAAGACAAAAAAGCTAGCTGCGGCGCACAGGCTTTGCCGGTGTTGACCGTTCAGCACGAGCTACGGAGCCTCAGCCATCCATCCAAAACAGCAGAAGGCCGTCGCCTAAGGCTGTCCAAGACTACCGGTGGAGCCCAAAATCAAAGGTCCGGCCGCCGTTCTAGTTCCGTGGAACAACGGTCAGCCCCGGAGTCCTGTTGTGTTACGATCGTGCACACGAAGTCCACAAATCCAGACCTTTTGCCTGGGCGAAGCAATTGACCCAACGACGTATGTCAG